GGCCCAATATGCAATGGACCATGAAAGTTTTAAAATGTTTAGAAAGCATATCCAGATTAAGAGGGATGGTGAGTCAAAAACTCCCAGTCTATAAATTGTTTAACTTCCAGAGTCTGAGACTCCAAATATTGTCAAAGATGTATCATCGGAGTCATTTTTATGTAAATATGACGCAAGTTATTAATCCACCCATCCTTCCCAGTCAGCAGTCTCCAAGACTGGGGCGGGGGTGTAATTCGGATCTTGTACATAATTCAGGGCGACGCTTGCTTCAGTCTCCTAGGATTCAACTCATAAAATACCTGCCATTCTTCCTTAGTACAGTCTCTTCCTAGCACGCCTCATCTCGAGTGGCCGGTAGTTCCTAAGTCTATATACTTTAAGGCAATGAGTATCCTTTGGACGTCCTTTTCATTCGAACCTCAAATAAGTTTAAGGAAAAACTAAACAAATTCGGCGCCACTAATTTCTTAATGAAACCCAATATGCCTAGCCAGAACATGGAAACTGAATTTGCATAAAATATTGTTTTGTTAAGCTGCGAATCTTACGGGCCTTACGTAAATTACGTCACGGCGCGGCTCCGTAAGAGGTGGACACTGGTAGTCTCAAACTCTATGTAGGGAGGGATTAGGATCCACTTGTCGTCGCCGGCATTTTTGTAACAATATGTAATTGCATGAAGAGCTCTTACAACAGGTGAAGTTAGGGATTTTCGGAAGTAATCGCCCCAATTGTGATCGACACTGTATCGTTATGATATTGATTGTTCACTAGATTGTAACGAAACAATAGTCCAAACTACTGTTATTCCCAATTCAAGATTATCATAATCTGCTTCTTCTCATCGAACCTTACATTGCATCACCCGGCAACCACTAAACATTCAGTTCGTTCAATATCCCATCAAAAGCAAGTAAACGACGATGGACCCTCATTGGAATTATCATCCTCGTTCTAAAAATATCATATCATTCATCTCAGTTTCAGAAAGTTTCCTAATGTTTACTAATTTCTGGATATTTGTTTTGCCGAAATAAACATCCAAATCAACTAAAAATACAAATGTATTGGGTTCTAAACGTTCTTATTCTTTGCCCATACAGTGAGTGGGGAAGGAGTGGTCCATTTGGTTTTCCGATCTGTATTTGCATCTTGGATTGTTTGTTTGTTTATTTGTTTGTTTCATTTAAACGAGGTCAAATCTCCCTGTTTTCAAGTGTTGCTTCTTGTGCTTTTCTCTCGGTCTCTATCGTGAGAAATAATAGATGATTACAAGTAATTATTTGTTAATTTGTTTAATTGTTTTGGCACTTACCGGAACCGTATTTGCTACCCATTATTCTCCATTAGATTTGTTGAATTGCGTTTATTTACATGAGGTGGGAATACAATTAAAGAAATCAATTAAAGAATCGTCGTAAACAATGGCAGTTTACTTAACTTCTAATCGCTTTATTTTCAAACCGAAATTGTAGTTTGAAAATTCAATTTATTGAGAAGCCATAAGTAGCAACATCAGAAAACTACATTATAAACCTAGAAATCTCTTTAAATCTAAACACAAAGTGACACATTGGTTTTTTTAATGGTTTCATTCAATCTTACCCTGCGCGCAGAGTCTAGTTATAAACTACGACTACGAAGACGAAGCCCTCTTTTGAGAAGCGAAGTCTGACTTTCTGAGACATGAGAAGTGTACAATAACACAAATTGTAAAATGTAGTAAAAATGCACCCACATGGATTTAGAAAAGACACACCTTTTCACGATAATCTTTGGGTCCAGCGACAGCTGGTACTTTATTAAAATAGTGAGCAATAATATGTATGTACTTTAAATTAGCATCAACTGCACTATTAATATTATGTGAATCATCTCTTGTAAATATTACTTTACTATTTTTAAAATACACTTTTTTCACTTAGCAACCTTGGAAGCTTGGAACTCTCCATAAAACCTTAGAATTGCTTTTTTATGTTCATATCTATGATTAGACATCATGATTCATGATCTAGGCATATATTGACAATTTTAATTTTAGGCCGTTACTCATACTCTCATACTTAAAGTGTCTGTTCAGGTCTTTATACTTTGATGCGACACTCCAAGATGAGTTCATATGTTATGCCGCTAACTGGCCAAACTACAAGCGATTCATACATGCTTTCAGATTTCAACCATTTGAAGTTAAAGTTGTAAACTCTTTGTTTTCCCACTCATTGTTGGTAACAGTCTCCTTATATTTTCAAGAGGGTATAAACTGCTCAAGAACCTCTCAGTGCTGGGTACTAGGTTATTTGAAATATAGATTTTTCGCTACCGTGTGTACTCTGTCGCCAAATATCTTGTTTCAGCCATTGGAGCAAAGCCGGTTGTGTGTTTACAAAGTTGTAATGCCAGTAGCATTAGAGGATTTGGCTTTAGAAGTCAACTATGAATTCTTTGCGAAAGTACCTGAAACCCCGGACAACGCAGGAATCATAAGTGGGTGACTGTGCCATTGCGCTTTAGCAGGAAATCCAATTATAACACTATAAGACAATGATAACACGATATTAAATACAATGAGCTCTATTAGTTGACGTGTCCCAGAGATAAATGTGCTGAAAGTTACGCTGCACACTTTTGTGAAAAATGATTGACATGATGGTAATCTCTGAACGAAAACCTTCCAAATTATTTGCCGAAAAACATAATTCCCATTTATTTGCACAACCTATGGTTTTTATTTTTTAAGTGTTATCACGAAATCTTTGATGCTAACAGAATTATGCAGATATGGCTATTTGTTTGTTGATCGATCCATTAATTATATGTTTACCTGGGCAGGTAACTTATCTAATTAGACTGATACGATGAGCAAAAGGTGTCAAGATCCGACTGTGACACACCTGAGAAATCAAATCTAATGAGTAAATCTCAACATAAAATCCCGATTTCCCAATCAATCCTCTCCAGTTATTATTGACGTAAAGTATGATAGGCCGAAAAACACTCCAAGGATTTCACTTATCAATTAATTAAGGTAAATTAGGTAAAGTTGGGCATATGTATATTTGTATGGGAGGAGATGCAAAGTTTGTGAAAGTGATGAGCAGCGAGTGTCACCCTCTCCATGGTAAGTGTAGACCACTGATTGCAATTAATTGAGTTGATTCTTCATTTAATTTTATCTATCAATATTGTCAATATTTCCACATTTTCCCAAATTGTGAGAGTTCCAATTTTGCAATGATGAAAATTCTCATTTAGCTAAATTGTAGATTCCCTGTGTCAAAATTGAAGATTAAACAAACAGAAGAAACCAGTCACAACATAAAATTGAAATGATGGTGGCTAATTGGTATGTTGTAGAAGCAAAATTGGTCAAGAATAATTAGGCCACTTTTTTACCTTTACACTGTCTGTCTGTACGAAATTATCATCAAAAATGGAAAATCAAGAAACTGATATTTGGGATTGTTCTATAAAATGAAAGCCCCGTTCCAATGAATCGCTAAATGTAAAGAAATGTTTCTAAAGCTCTAAAGTGAGTATTTGCCTTGTAGATAGTAGTCCAGATGTGCAGGAAGGACATGGGATTTATCAATGATTATGCAACACCTTCTGTATAGAGTATACCATAGTGTGACACCCTCTCTTCCCCTCACCTGTACAAACCGCACTGACACTAACTGCCTTACCACCAACTTATAATCCAGTTAGACAGGATGATATCAAAGCAATGCAAATAATATAACAAGAACATACATGTCTTGTTATCTGAGATACCACACTCCAAGATGAAAATGCACCTCTTTAGAAAAATCATTAGGCTTGTTAATAACTCGGGTACTTTATGATTTGTTTTGAAATTGGCCGCGGATTAAACTTTGAAAAAATACTTGACAAAGTATTGTTGATTAAAAGTCGGGAAAATGACTCATTTTACAGTATCATCGTTTACCTTTCAGGTCGGCCATGTTTTACAAATTTAGTCACCTTGATAGTGCTTTAATGGGCGTGTACACGGCAAATCTGATTGTTTTAATATTGACCCGGTAGATCTTTCCCATTCCATCCATCACAAGTCATGTTCTGGTATGTTTTCGTTCCCTGTCGTTCCTGTCTAAGCCATCTCGAGATGATAACAACGGGTGACAAAGACTATATCTAAGAAACATAAAGCGCTCGTATAATGGTCGTATTTTAAATTAACAACTTAGTAATGCGGTCAAAAGTTGAACTCCTGAGTATCATTTCTACTAATTACTCATTAAAATGTGGTGAAATCCTTTACATAAAATTACCACATTTAATTAAAATCACATAATAATGGGCAACCGCATCTGAAAAGCATTTTCTAGGTAACCAGGAAAAATAAAGACCATCTCAGATCAAGGCGTCATGACCCGATGACATTTTTTATTTTTTACCCCTGCCTTACCCCCACTCGCGATATGATGTCGAACAATTCATTATTGCGATTATGTCACATGGTTACACATAGTAAACAACGAGACAAGTAGACAAACAAACAAAATCAAATTCCGGTTCTTGAAAGTTACAAAAATAGGCTATTTCGAATTTAATTTCTTCCTTGGGGGAGAGACGAGATCGGGTAGAGGGTATGGGTAATTTTTCAGTATTTTCTGGATGGTTTGTTGGCGTAAGTCTCAGAGTAGATTTTGTTGAAGTGTTTGTTCCCTGTTGACGAGAGTTGGGCAATTGGAGTGTACCAAAGGGATTATCCGAATGTAGGAGTTTCTTGCCCTTACTCAAAATGACACGATGGTTGTTTTTTTTACTTAATTGTTCTTTTTAATAAAAACTATAAAATGTGTGAAGCATAAGGAGATGTATGTTAATGAGTCTACTATTTTAGTATGATTTAAGTGGAGGAAAGTTCATAGTTTTTGAAGTAGCCTGTGTTTGAACAAGTTCAAATATTTTGGGAGGGATAGTCCAATAGGCTGAGGGACTATAAACATCGGGCTCATCCACTAGTTCAGTCAGTCACAATTTCGATCTCGTACTATCAACAACTCTCAAACATCACATTTTACAAAGGAATTTTAACTTAATGAAAATGGACATGACGCAGTTGGATGGTAAATAAAACAACAATTAATAACAATTTCTATATATGATATCAATTGAGAAATATAAGTGGTTTTACAATTGTATTATATTTTTTATTTTATTTTCAGGGGATTTGAAGACGTTACTGACTCCTCCACACTCGCCACCAGAGAATGACACCCCGGCCCAGGGACATGTCTATCAAAAACATTGTATGGAAAGTAGATCATTCTACCCATCAAGTCCACGGGCGCATGATTACTCCATGCGCAACAGCCCTCCACAGACGCCAGAATCTACGCATCACGAAACACCGGACAATAGTTCCCCAGAATCTGAACTGGGACAATCTAAATCAAAGGTTCAAATCAAGGCGCCTAAGCCGATCTACTGGAATCCATATACCTCATATTGCCCGAATTCTGGACTTGGAACGAGACTTTCCGGAGGAGTTATTCCGAGTGGTTACCCGTCTCAGTTCACTGGCGTTCCATTGATATCACTCGGCGTTGGTGCACAATTGACGCAACCATTGACAATAAGCACAGAATTGGCGCACAATTCAAACGCAGCACAACCATTTGTTTCCAAAAACGCAATGGACGCATTTAGTCCTGCACAAACTCTACTCCGCCTGAGCAGTCAACAAATATCCCAAGAACGTAAGTTTAACTTTATATTAAGTTATATTTTATATTTCAAAACCCAACAGGTGAATTTTAGTATTAGGTGACATTACAAAAGTATTCAGGTTTTTATAATTGTTTGATTGTATTTGGATATCATCAGAACTGAAAACATGAATTTATATGTATGGTCCGCATCATTTATCCCAAATCCATTGAATCTATGAGCTTTATACAATTTGATACAACGGATAAGAAAACTAACAATCCCAGGTGCAGTGTGAATAGCTCAACACCTCCAGAGGAAATCTTTGATGAAAAAGTTATCCGGGATTTCGTTTTATAGTCAAGAGTATATGATCTCTGTAATCGTATGAATAGCAAATGTTTGGAATACACAATTATAGTATTGTTGTTTTGTTTATTAATTAATATATCTTTGAATGTTAATCCATGGTTCCTTTGAAATTTGTGGTAATCCTAAATGATCTGATATTGTTATAATTAGTAAATAAAACAAATGGACGATGAAAACTAAAGTGAAGTCCCAATTCATATATCTTATAATTGAAATGGTAACTCATATCCATGTTTTATTTTTATAATCTTTTTATAATGTTATAAGATCTAGATTGTATTACTTGATGTGTTTTAATTTAGCACTTAAACAATAAAAAAACAAGTAGCCCATCAACTTGCTTTCTAGACAATAGAAAACCATAATCGTGTTGTCTTACCACAAACCACAAATCTGTACTTATTCAAAGACCGAGCGCAGCGAGTAAATATTTAGAAATTAGGACTAGCTTTAAAAATACAACTATGAAAGTTGGGTGGCTAGTCTAGTCAGTGATTTAATTTCAATAGGTCAGCGTTGGAGGTACCAAGGTAGCTGTATAAGGCACGTGGCAAATTAGTTTCGCGTCTCAGGTTCCTGATAATTCTCATTCTTTAACTATGATAGGGCATTCCTAAACCGAATTGAAACCATTATTATAGTCAAAGGAATTCCCCCAGATTTAATTACAAAAAATCAAAATTATTTTCAGTTCGAATTTATGTTTGAGTTGAGAAAATATTTCAGGAACAAAATACGACTCCCTGACTGATCCGTGTATCTAATGAGAACTAGTCCAGATACATTCCAATTAAATAATGTGATCTATGTGTCTCCAAGAATGTTTTTACAGGCCGGTGAATACGCAATATTCTTATCATATCATCATGATGGCGCATCAAAGGGGCCGTCGCTTGAGCATTTTACAATTTTACTGCCCTTTCAATATAGCAAGTCTAAATTACAAAAAGAACGCATAAGGAATATTCGATAATGGGCGTTTGGCATTTTAAGTAAATCAAATTTTTAATAGTTCTTAATAAAGCATGTTAATAATAAATTATATGAAACATTTCTAAACAGATCTAGCATGTGCACAAAAATATATGAAATGTCTTCAAGTTGAGCTGAATTCTTCAGATGATACTTTGATTTAGTTTTAAAGTTTGGAAGGATTAATTTATAAACAATCATCCGAATTTGGAAGGTTGATACAAGTCATATCATATCACCAATTACCACCAATTAACACGAGATAATCTCTATGTAGCTTGTACAAATACAAGAAATTGCACCCAACTTCAAATTAATTTTATTGATACTCAACCGCTTAATATTGCTATTTGGATAAGTTGATGAAAGGGGCATCGCTTTTGAAAAATCCATTTTCAAAATAGAATTATGAAAAAATGAAATTTTGTTAAAAAATGCCTCCTTTTGAAGTCTCTTTAATCAATTTTATAACTGTTTTTGATAGATGCTCCAGCCCAAAAAGATAATGCCAAGAAAGCAAAGTTCGATTTTCACCATCTTGCCGAAGCAGTCACTCAAAATGAAGCCCCAAGCCAACAAGGGGCACCATCAGATGGCAGTGATGTCGCTAAAGTAACAAGCACGCTGACGAGAACATGGGAAATGTTTGGATATGATCCACTCTATTCTGCCAACTTCTACCAATCATATCTTACTGCCGAGAAACTAGCGGAAAAGAAGAAACCAAGGGGACCAAAAAGGTTAGTTTGATGTTCATTTCAGATCATTTAACAAATAATTAACCATAAATCGATGTTCAGTATTCATTATCGTCTGTATTTCGTTCTTAACATTCGATTTTGATTGGTCACACAACGGTTAATATTTTTATTTTACTGTTGACCGCGTAATTACATTATTTTTTAAATTAAGTTGTGATGGTAAACTCTACTCCGGATTAACTATTCTTATGACTTTTAAATCCCTGTCACACCCCTTTCCAACTTAATTACATCTTTCCACACTGCACCTCAAATATCGGTCTTGGTCGCGGTCTTTAGGGATAGCAATTTTGATAATTTACTGATGTTATGTCAATACTCGTATATTATATCCTTGAAGCGTATAACACATAGATGCATCAGCTAACCGATTGTTATTTTTGCTTCCAGAACTAAACGAGAGTACATCTGCAAATATTGCCAACGCCAGTTCACCAAGTCTTACAATCTCTTGATTCACGAAAGGACGCACACGGACGAGAGGCCATTCCCTTGTGACATCTGTGGCAAAGCTTTCCGTAGGCAGGATCATCTCAGAGATCATAGGTAAGCTTAGAGTACATTATATGATATGTTGTGCCATATTTATTTTTTGGTACGTTTTGTTGCGTTTACGTTGATTGTGCCAGATTGCGCCGTCATTGTGTTTTGCGTCACTCTCTACATGTACGTCTAGTTGTGATTTGGTGTTCCCGGAACAAATGTAATTTTGTCTCATGGTGACCATGATGAAATCATCGTGGCTTACGAATGTGTTACCTGCAATTAATGATGAATTTAAACATGCAAATAATATTTTCCAGATATATCCACTCCAAGGAAAAGCCATTCAAGTGTTTGGAATGTGGAAAGGGATTTTGCCAGTCCAGAACTCTATCAGTCCACAAAACTCTACACATGCAGGTAAGACTAGATTAACTCATTACATAAACCGGACAATTGGTCATAGATTACCAAAATATATTTATATGTGTATTTTTGGAAATTGAATATAGATGGTATACACGTAGTGTAAAGTTAAACTAATTTCTGCTTCATTTTCATTGCTGTCACATTCAATGGTATTTTCTTAGACTTACATTCTACGATAAACTGAAATTACGTTCAAATGATTCTTATACTGTACATTTGTCTATTTTAGGAGTCACCACACAAATGTACTGTATGTAGCCGCACATTCAACCAACGTTCCAACCTCAAGACGCACCTCCTCACGCATACCAACGTCAAACCTTTCTCCTGCAACGAATGCCCAAAGGTCTTTCGCAGGAACTGTGACCTCAGACGGCACGTCCTTACTCACGTTGAAGAAAGGGAACGACTTGGAGCTTCTCAAAACGTTGGAGAATCCATGGTTATCAACTCCACTGTACAACCTCAAGATGGTCAAAGAGACAATAACATGAATAATGAGCCATTACATAGCAGCCAAGAAGACCAAAGATCAGCCATTAGCATGAGGCAAACAGACAATAATGATCAGATCTATATGGACACTAACAAACAAGACAATGTTATGAAGATAGAACACTGTGAATCTGATGGAACAAACTCTGCTTTTGATGACGAAGATGAAGAAGAAGAACTGATCGTTGATTTATAATTTTAAACACTGTACAGTATAGAGCACAGCTCCCGGGAAAAGTATATTTTGGACACGTAAATATTAGTCGGAAATTTGTGCCAAATTGAGATATTCTGTTGAGCTGTGAAGTCAATGTGTCAATATTCATGGAACTTCCCATCGGGATATTTTTGCGTCAAGCTTTGGCATTTTGAAATTATGAAATTAATTTCTAGAATCATTCTGCAGAATTTCGTTTTTCTCCGATATAATATACTGTAATAGTGCTTTGTTTTGTTTAGAATTTTTTATTTATTGTCTCTACATATGAGATGTATGCATGCTTGTACATATGAAATAATAATATTTATACACATATATAATAAACATATATAATTGGAAAAATACGAATAGTAGTTTGTTACTTCGAGTACAATAAATTGAAATTGAAAAACTCAGGTATAAAATAAACTAAACAAAAAGCCAAAGGTAGCTTCTTTGTTTCGTTGAACTTTGAACATTACGTACGTGTTGTTTCTCCTTCTGTTATTATTTGCCAAGTCATGGCGTTTTATTATGATGTACAAAGTTGGACGTTCATGAGTAGGTCAATTAGTACTTAAAAGTCATGAATATAGAACACCAGAGAGCACACCCAGATACAGACCAACCAGTATTGTCCTATCACAAATACAGCCCATCAACATCGAAATTGTGTGTCATCAATTATTATATCAAAATATAGTAAGTATATGATTTTTATGAATAAACGGTCATGCATGCATATAATGCACACGTTGAGCTTGATCTATATGTAAACTAGGATGAGTATTATTTCTTCCTCCTAGTTATCAACGAAGACGACGCTCTCTTTTGAGAAGCGAAGTCGAACGAATGCAAAGCGTATGTATATTTTGTGTAAATCGATGAGCTATGGAGGATTTTGATTTCCATTTCAAGTTTACGATTACGGCAAAATAGGTTTATGTCGTTTACCAAGCCTATCCTAGGATGAAGAAGATTCTCAAACGCAGGCCCATTCTGTTTTTAAAAATACTACTGTTAAATAGATGGCGAAATAGTAATATACAGCTAGCTGTAATCGATACAGCTGAAGTCAATAAACTACTTCACCAACCAAACCCGTTCACATCATCGGGTATTGCATCAGTTTCTACACATTTATTTTTACATGACAACAGCCTGCAGCATCCCAGTACTGTAGTATTGCATCAGATGGTCGACCATGTGCTTGTGTTTACAACACGTGATCAAAACTAAACGAACCAATCAGATCGATCAAACAAATATCGATCTGTTCTCCCATTGGTCAACAATTTAAAGGTCCGGGTGTGACGTCAACACTGCGTGGTAATATCATAAACAAATGTAGGAGGATTTTCATTTCATTCATACTAAACAACATCCATTTGGAGCGGAGGGAACAAGAAAATCCTGACAAAATGACTTCTGATCTATCAATGGAGAACTTACTGAACCACTGCAACAGACTGTGGATCTTTGGTTATGGGTCACTGTGCTGGAAACCGGGCTTTCAATACAGTTCAAGGAAACTTGGTTTTATCAGAGGCTACTCACGGAGGTTTTGGCAGGGCAATGCCACACATAGAGGCACACCCAATAATGTAAGTAACATAGATCTGTTTATGATATTATACTGTTTCTGTATGTCTTTGAGGACAAAGGGACTTTGTCTTATAAATGTGTTTATTTCCATGAGTAAAGATGATGCAAGAATACAAGTACAGTTTGTCCTCATAAGGACAATGCAATATGGCTCATAACCAGTTGTCAATACTGGGGCAATACTCCACATGAAACTGAAATCAGTACTTTACTTGATTGCAATCTGGCTAATCATCAATATAATCTGAATATTAAAAAAAGAAATCCAATACTGTATCAATATACTACATATACGTACAGCATATCAGTGATGTTGACCTGACTATTTTTCTGATTTCAGCCTGGCAGAGTTGCAACTCTTGTAAAAGATGAAATGGTGAGTAATACTTGTAAATACTTGCAAAAACCTTTAAAGGGAGATTCAACACAAGTGATACATACAAAACAAATTAAAGGATAATTGGAATTGTTGACCATCCTCGCTGGGTTGTAGAAGTGCAATATAGTTAATGGCTACAAAATCAATTAGTTGTTCATTGAAATGCAACACAATAAATGTAATTACAAATGCAACACCATTATGAACAATTCTAGTTATGATGTCAAAATGCATCACACTAAATGGTTCTAATTTAAATATAATCCCTCTTAAATGTATCATATGATGTTCCAACTCAATTAAATGAAATATATTTGACTTATAACAATTTACTAGAGTTCTGATCATCCATAAATCCATTGAGCAATAATGATGATCGTTGGAATCAGTAGAATATAAAATAAATCATCTCCAAACTCTAAAGGGCAAACTTGAAACCAGGAACTTTATCTGATAAAAGAGGTGCTATATACATATTCCAAACCACCAGCTGGTTCATGTGGTGTATACTAAATATAAACACAAAGGGCTAAATATACATGTATTAACATCAGTATCATGTTGGAAAATTTCATCATCATCTTAGCTCAGCTCAGAGTTCTGTTATCATCAATGGAAATTGATATTACGTTTTTGTAATTATCTAGTATTACTTGACCCAGATATTAAAATGACTGCTTGTGTTTACATCATGTGATCAACCAATCAGATCGATCAAACAAATATCGATCTGTTCTCCCATTGGTGAACTGTTTAAGGTTCAGCTGGAAAATAACATTTTAGGAAAAAATTGCTATACCTGATATGTTATTTTCTGGTACAAAGTAAAGTATGAAGGCATGTGTTAATAATTTCCTTGCTTTTTTCAGGAAAGTATCATTACATTGTTTTCATTTAGTAAATCTGGTAAAAGTTCACCTCTTACCAGATTTACTAAAAGAAGACAATGTAATGGTACTTTCCTGAAAAAGGCAAGTAATTTAACACGTGCCTTCATTAACTTATTTTGTATCAGAAAATAACATGTGCAGGTATAAAGTCAGAAAAAATTGAAGTCAGTCTAAACAGTATTTAAGTTATTATTAGAAGTTGAAAGAATTTGTTACAGATGCCGATCGCCAACCACCGTAAAAAAACGGAGACCATAACAAAATGTCACCACTTTTTGATGGTGACATAATAAACCAAGATATCTATGAATCTAGCTTCTGATCATGCAGGTAGTTCATGTACATCCCAAGCCACAATTAAACTTGAAAAAGAAGAAATATATAGGTTGTTTGCCCTTGAAATCTTGTAATGTTTCTCTAGGCCTCTCAGCTGCTTAGTACATTCAGCTAAATTGCCTTTAACCGCGATTCAAGACACACAAATATATCATTTCCAACCAAAACACTCCCCCAGAGCATGCTCCTTTAGCTCTTCAGGGTTATCAAGTATTTTGTGATTCAAGATGTATATAAACAACTAACATCTACATGTATCTAATGGCCTGTCCCTTATTGACTTGTCCTTCTATTAGTCCCATTTCAATTGCAAACAAAAAACAAAATAACAAAAAGTACTTAAATTATGACATTTCAAAATAATTCATTGATTAGTAGATTTGTCATATTTCAAGTCCCTCATCAAATACACATATAAAAAGAACAGCCTTGTGTTTATTGACCTCTATATAAGTGCACTGTTTATTGTTTATATTTTATATATTCATGATGATATATATCAAATGCACTCATTTTATCAAAGAAAATCAAGGGTAATTAAATAGCCATGAAATAAAGGTAGGACTAAGTTGGACATCATAGATAAAAATTTTGTTTTTATATTGTTTTGTGTTCCCAGGCACTTCCTTTGAACCAACAACCTTCAAATACACAACTTGCATTTTAGAAATTACAATAAAAGCTGACTTACTGTCTAAGAATAAAGCCTGCCTCTGTAAGACTGTAAATATGTACACTGGCAAAAGGCCAATAACCTGGCCAAACAAACCTTTTCCAGTTCTTATAAATATTCAATATATTCCATAAATAATTAGAAATTTGACAAAATTACAGTTTTTTTGTATCATACGCAACAAAATACATAAAACCTCAACAATTTATTTACAATACCTTTTCTAATGGGGAAGTTACAAATATCTGAATTCTCCGAAATTAAAAATAGGATTTCCAGCTTTTAAAGAAAAGTGGTAAACAAAAGCATCAACATATCTAGCTTTCTTGAAAAGTGCACATATTTTAATTAATTGAACTTTGATTGGAGGATTTAGACTTGTTATGATGATGGCTATGGATGGAAAATCCATGAATCACAAGATTGAGATAAAAAGGTTTGGGAAAAAGGGTGTTATCACACATAAATTAAAGATAGTACGATGCTAAGTATATATCATGATGTGTGTTGCATTTCCATAGCTTTATGGTGCATAACCATTATCTCTGCATTACCATAGTTTAACACATTACCATGGTATTAGTTTAATGCATTATGGTAACCATGGATTCATGTTGCATTAGTAACTACTAGTATTTTCATACTACCTTAGTCTCATGTAAGCATGTAGTTTTATGCATTATGGTAACCATGGATTCATGTTGCATTAGTTACTATATAGTTTCATACTACCTTGGTTTCATGTAAACATGTGGTTTTATGCATTATGGTAACCATGGATTCATGTTGCATTAGTAACTATATAGTTTCATACTACCTTGGTTTCATGTAAGCATGTAGTTTTATGCATTATGGTAACCATGGATTCATGTTGCATTACCATAGTTTCATGCTGCATTCCCATCATACTAAGACTCCATATTAAATCTTTGTGTACTTTTCTGCTTTCAGAACAGTGTATGGGGAGTTGCTTACGAACTAGTGGGCCACGCTCAGATTGAGCAAGCCTTGAAGCATTGCAGCCATAGAGAGCTAGAACTTGGCGGATATATAGTGAAAATACAACCTTTCCAGATAAAGAACAGCACCAATGTGATTCCTGTTCTAGTGTATATGGCAACACCTGCCAATCAGCATTACTTAGGCCCCGCCTCTATTGACGCTCTTGCAGAGCAGGTAACCAACAGTGAAGGTCCAAGTGGACATAACATTGAATATGTTTGCCGATTGGCTGACTGGGCACGTCACGAATGCCCAGAGGAAAATGATCAGCATTTGCTCCAATTGGATGAAAAAATCAGACAGATTTGCCAGGAAAGGAAAATCTGTATGAGGACTGCTATGGGGCCGGACCCCACTCCTTTGAGCCAGTATCATCGTAAAAAATGCCACCAAGCTGAACGGTTGCGTGCTTCACTTATCATGGCATCACTGAAGCAGTCACATTATCGCAAACATAAAACTTTGCATATTGAGCAAAACTATGAAATCTCTAGCAAGACAATCTCCACAAATGCCAAGTAATGAATTATAGTTGGTAATAAATACATGACAATATTCCCCACATGATGATCGTTGATATCCATTATAGTGTAAGAAAATCATGGAAATTGCAGTATAGCAATAAATTCATATCTAGTTAAAATGCAGAAACAAAATGGATGCCAATCAAGAGTCTTCCAATGATTTAAAAGGCCTAACAGCCAAAAAATGTTGAGTTGGCTAGATTCAGTATGCTAAGATTTGACTTTGACAATAATGAAAAATTACAACTGATCTCAATCCGAATTTATGTTGAAAAAGTTTGGCATGTTGTTGCAATTAGAAGTATACGACATGTGACATATTTAATTAGTTTTAATCAATGTATACTGCAAAAACTTATTTTTCAATTAAGATGATGGGTTGAAGATGTGCCCCATCTATAATATTCTACATTATTTGCCTCTATTTTTGCATGTATTTTTATTTATAAATCATCCATTTATGTGTGCATTAAGTCATAAGAAATTTCACGACTCCACGCCTGACCCTATTACTTTTTTTTTTATAAAATCAAACTTTATTAATAAACATATTTTACATTACATGCATACAATAAGATAAAATACAATTATAGAAATTTCAAGTTACATTACATCTTTCTGATCATTATTTCAATTTCTCGAAAATAGCTTTTACATTACTAGCTGTATTGACCCTTTTTTTAAAATCATGTATAGCTTTTTTAATTACCCTATTAAAAATATTACTAACTATTTCTTAAAAAACAATTATTTGAACATAATAGTTGACAATATCAGTGTTATTTCATTTTGAAAAAACAATAGGTTAACAAATTCTGGTTACATAAAATTGTGAATAATTGATGAAAACGGTCTCCACTAAAACCTGATCACTTGAACTGCACTGAATTTGCAGAATATGTGTTACCCTGTAAGCTTGAGTTACCCTGTATTTTAGAATCTCATGACGATCTCATATGGTTTTCATCAGCTGATATTTTGATTGTATTTTTGCTTCAAGGATTTCAGTCAATGCATTTAATTGTCAGCAGATTGCAACAGAATATAGCCATTGCTCCCAATAAAAACTAGTCAGTTAATATGATGGTAGATTTTAGGTAATACATATAATGTCTACTGTATTTTCATTGTAGAGCAATAAGTATAATCCCAACATCAATTTTATTGTTGTTGAATAAATTATTTTATCATAAAAAAAATAGAAACAAGTTTTACTGTTCAATTTATTTGGAATAAACACAATTATCCAACTAAAGGTAGATTTATAAGGGACTGTGTCTACATTCCACGGCCTACCTCTTCCCAAAATATAGCATTCATTCACTTTTGTTATAAGTTACTTCCTTCAAAAAATCAATGTTCTCCATGACTGTTATGCCTCTACTTCCCCCTAAATGCTATACACCAGATGCTAGTAGAAATAATCTTGATTTACTTTATTAAAAATTCAGTCAAAATAATGTCATATTTGGAATGTACATGTAAAATTACACCTAGAAATGTGGTTTTGAAAAGAGTCTATCAACTTTGGATATTCAATTTTCTTTGAAAATGTGACTTCTAGGTCGGGGAGATTCCCCATAGACCCCATGTTGTAATATCACAAAAATGGAAATATCTTTTCTTGTGTTGGGCAGATAATATTTTCTTTTACTGGACATAAACTATCAGATACATAAGGGTAATATGAAAAGTGAACCACTAAAACTGATGATTATTCAAGTTTAAGGGAATTTTGTAATACCCTGCCATGTTATTTCTCCCGAATCAGCCACCTGGTGGCTAAAGTGGTAACTGCCTGTCCTACTCGCATCTGAGTAATTTCTAAAATATATATATATATTTACAAAAGAAAGTTTAATATTTTCTAGAAAATATTTGCATTTATTTCATATTGTCCAATGTACATATTAAACATGCAACCAATGGTTTGCATTAAACCATATCCTTGGTCAACTTAGACTACAATCAAAGCACACAGTTGACATTTTCAAAGTGCTATAAAAGCTCAGTGAATTCAAAAATGAGTCTAGAGACATCAGGAGTCTAATTATAATATTGATGGCAATATAAATTGAATTCTGAATTTTCCAAGATTACTCGGGATATATCCAAATTGTAAAAAAAATTGTAAAGTAAAAATAACTCATCAGAATTATTAAGGAGTTTACATCTTGATACTACATGTCTTTAGGTGAGGTTTAATTACTTCATATTATTTCATATGTATGTATGTATGTATAAATATTTATTAACGTCTCACGCCATATATAAAATAGTACAATAATGCAATATCAGTTAAAATCTTCGGCCCGGCCGGTGTCGACCTATGGGAGACTTAAAATCATAATAATCACTTGTTAAAAGTTTTTGATTATTAAATTAAAGAACGCCTTTTTAAAAGCATATTAATCAGTGTCTTTGACAATGTCCTTTGTAACATTGGTGTAGTCATAATAGAGCAAAACTGTTGAATATAATTAAAAGTGTGAAAATCTGGAATTTCCTCAAGGCATTTCAGAAACAATGGAGTTCTAAGTTCATCATAAGAATTGCACTGTAGAAGAAAGTGTATCTCGTCTTCAACAGTGTGATTGTCACAGTGACATCGACGATCCTGGAGTGGGGTATTGTGATAACGTCCAGTTTCAACCTTCAATGGGAGTGTTCCGCCTCTAAGTTGGGCAATTGCTTTGCGTTCGCTCCTTGACATGTTAATGCAAGTATAATGGGCGGGTTCCACAGAGTGTGTTTTAAACAGTCTATATGTTCGTAATTTGTTGCCATTAATTGGGTTATTTCTATCGTCCCAAAGACTGTTGTGCCATTCGACGTGATCTGCCCGTGTGCACGCTTCTTTGACCTCGTGGAGATGGAGTTTAACTCGAGAAATAGTTTCATTGTCGGTGAGCTGAGGGAAGTCCAAATCTTGTAACATTTTCAGCGTGAGATTTTCCCAAGATTTACGATATCGGCAAGACCATTTAGATATATGCTTCGGTGTCCTATATGTAGCCATGTTTTTTAATCGACACCAGAGTCTAGTCACCTCGACTCTCTGTTTGGTAAATACTGATGTCCAGCAGATATCTCCTTTGGTTGATCCATTTGGTGCTGTACGTCCAACACCGAGAAAATATCGCGCCGCTTTGTTTTGAACTGCATTCAATTCAGAGTATTGTCGAGTGCCCCAAATACCGGCACCATATAACATAATAGGGGAAACAAGGGTGTCAAAAAGTTTCGTGAATACAGCATAAGGTAGTCCACCCTTTACATTTGTTTTTGCAATTAACATTCCTAAGGCACGATTTGCCGATTTTGCAAGTATTTTAACAGTTTGTCGCATGTCCAGATGTTCATTTAATGTAAGTCCTAAATAACGATATTCCGAAACATATTCTAGACGATTAGATGGTCCAAATGTGAATATATGATTACTCCTGGCATGAGATTGCGATCTAAAATGGACGATTTTTGTTTTTGTTGTGTTAAGTGTCATTCTCCATGTATTACACCACTCGTAAAGTTTATTCAGCATATGTTGTAAATCATTAGCAGTTGGGGCAACAAGTGCGACGTCATCTGCATACATGAAAATGCCAATGTTTTTTCCGTCTATGTCTACTCCTTTGTTGAGAGCGTTAATCGCCGTTTCCAGATCGTTTATATATATAGAAAATAACGTCGGAGAAATCGAACAGCCTTGTTTGACTCCCTTGGATATGTCAAAACAATGTGTGAGTCTACCATTAACACGAACTGTATATTGTACATCTTGGTAGAGAGACATAATAGCGTGGTATATTTTGCCTTTGATACCGGTCTTCTGGAGCTTATAAAACAGGCACGTGCGATTGATATTGTCGAATGCACGTTTTGCGTCCACGAAACAGATGTACGTATCCTGTTTGGCTGTCTTCCTATTATTGATTATCGAATATATACTGTAGAGATGGTCCTGACAACTGCGATCCGTACCACACGATTTCATACCATAAGTCAAAGGCTTCCTTCTCAAAGAGTAGGTCACAACCCCAACTTATTGTACTGTGATAAAACAACACAAAATACATTAGGTAAATAATGTAAAATCTTGACCTGAATCATGGACTTGATGATAATAAACCCCTGACTTGATCATATAGTATATTCCTACTTTTAGACATTTAAGGAACATAGGCAACCAAAAATGTATATCAAACAATTATTTACAAAGTAGACTTCATGTTCATGGAGAATTATGCTGGACATACATGTAATGAACTTTTGCAAAAGTACACTGAATCATTGTGTTTGAGCATTATATTGTTTTTATTGTCAGATTTTTGGGTATTTCGGATCCCACAAAGATTGAGTTTGAATGCCAATTACAAGGGTATTAGAGGCACAAAACAGGCAAGGTTATTGCCTCAACCAAATTTGACATAAAATTATGATCACGCATGTTCTTTAACTGAAACTATGAAAATAAAGTTCATTGATACTATGACAGTATATCCCATCTGGCTAAAGGTGCCTCATCCATCTGATTAATTGTAATACTTAGTTAAATATCCTAGCTACACCCTTGTTTATATTTTGTTCAAGTTCTGTTTAGTACACTAATATAGCATACATACAACATAAATACTGCACATGTGTTGATTGTATTTCAATATAGGCCTGTCATAAGGAGGTACTCTAAGACAGGCCTATTGTGAAACTAGATTTGTATTTATATATAGGCCTGTCATACGGAGGTACTCTAGGACAGGTCTAATGTGAAACTAGATTTGTATTTACATGTAAACTGTGTATCATGAAATTCATGAAACGCTGACACAAGAATTTCTTAAAATTCCTGGATTGTTCACTCTCTGAGTGTTATTAAACTTGGATTTCATTGCATAAACACTTGCACATTTAATCACCACATCATCATTAACATCATAGTTGGCTGTAAATCCAGCTAGCACAAGGGGCTGGATTGCCAAAGCTATTTACAAAGGATTACTCCTCCTCACTTCAAATGACAACAATAACAAGGCATTAACATGCAAAATGTCACTAACTGCCATTTGTTACAGACGCCAACCGCTGAACACTGTCTACAAAACCTCCACATAAAAATGGACTTGTTTTTATCCCTTTCCAACAACAAAGGTATGTTCTTGTAAGCATCCATATTTAGCACAGCACAATATGACAAATAATTTCAAAAACATTGAAATTACATTTAGACCTACTAAGTATTACAGTAGATGCCATTTCGTACCTGCTGTTGTGAAGTACATACCAAATTTTGAAAATCCTGAGTGCAACACAGGAATATGAACAGTATACTAACGCCATGTTATATTCAACATGTTATATTTTCTATCTTGGAAAAGATGCAATATCAAAGGAGCGCCGTCTCTTTGAAATCACATAGAAAGAATTTACGATCTCTATTTAATTAGGAGAGATTCTATACTATCAACCACAAACATGTGATTTTACTTCAGGACATTTGACCATTTTAGTTCCTTTAAACGTTCATTTCGGATGTGATAAGAGGTTGCATCCAGGTAAGGAAGACAATACATGTTGCCAGGGTAACCTGACTTTTGATGCAAGCCTGGCGACTTTTAGGTACAGATTTCTTGAGCAATCCTATATTTGGGAACTTAATTATCACGATTGTTCATTTCTTCAGATCTTCTCAATATTACCAGATCAAACAGGACACAGCTCTGTTTAGTCAGATCAGAGGAGCTGTTCATATTTCTTATTGCAACGTATCTTGAGTTATTGTTTGATATGTTGATTTGGGAGTGTCATTTCTTGAGTTGGAGTGTCACATCTCATGTAAGAGTGTCACACCTCATGTTAGAGTGTCACATCTCACGTTAGTGTGTCAAATCTCATGTAAGATTGTCACATCTCATGTTAGAGTGTCACATCTCATGTTAGAGTGTTACATCTCGTGTTAGAGTGTCACAGCTCATGTAAGAGTGTCACATCTTATGTTAGAGTGTCACATCTCATGTTAGAGTGTTACATCTCACGTTAGAGTGTCACATCTCATGTTAGAGTGTCACATCTCATGTTAGAGTGTCACATCTCATGTAAGAGTGTCACATCTCATGTAAGAGTGTCACCTTCAGATATCTTGTTGAGTGTCTCATTTCACTCAGAATGTCACAGTTCATGTTGGAGTGTACAATCACACTTTGGAGTGTTACCCCTCATTTAGGAGTGTCATATTTCACCCTAGTGTGACATTATCCCCACATGATGTATTTTCACCTTCAGGAGTGTCATGATACACAATGGAGTGTCAAACAGATGTTTTAGTTTGTAGTATCTCATTTCCGATTGGAGTGTCATGAATCGCCCTGGTTACTTGTTTTAGAACCTGGAGATAGAAGATGAATATATAACCACATTCACAAAACTTATATCAGTTACACATTATTTGTATTGAGTCCCAACTGAACCATTATTGATCAATTGACAATATCAATTCTAAATGTGTTTCATTTTTTCTTGCCGTATTGATCCATAGTGCTTTGAAAGTAACTGCCACATAATAAATAAGGTAAATCAATATCATGAAATTTCCAAGTAGGAAGCTGATTATTAGCCTTGCCCAAGACGGTATTTTTTACGAATCTGATCTTGAATTGGTGGTCATAATAGAAATCAAGATAAGTAAAAGAGACCGACTTGGGCAAGGCTAGAAGCTGATGTCAGATTAGCATTTGACATCATCACCTTGTTATATACAAGGCATCACCTAATAGAAGTTTTGCATGAGTTAAATGGAAATGTGCAAGGAATGATCTGAAAGCAATTTTCCATTACTAATGGAAATAGACAAGGTATAATCTGATAGTAATATTCCATTAGTAATGGGAATCCTAGCTTTGAGAACGACAAATTCATGAATTCCATAATTCTACAATCTAACATGTACAATCTTATGTTTAATTTGACAATATGCATTTTAATGCAACTTATGAATAATACGCTTAATGATGTACAACCTGAGCTATCATGTCTGAGACATTAGTTCTTACATTTAATAAAAGTTTATATCATTCAAAAAAGCTGTCAAACTTATTGTATATTATTCCTTTTTTCAATTTTTAAGATATTAGTTAAGTGCAGCCATATTGGCCAATCCAAAGTTCTAGCAAAAATCCCCTCTTAAAACAGTGGATGCTCTATATATTCACCTTGTAAGCTATAGCCATATGCAGCATAAGCAGCTTCTTTTGCTGCTTGTTTCCCTGCAATCTCAGCAGCTGATATGGCTTTACGTAAACTGCCTCTCCCTCTAGGTCGACGTCCCCCTCCAGTTGGAGTTTTCTTGCCACGGCCCCTTGCTAAACCCCCTCGCTTGGTGGGTGGTGGTGTACTGCTTGTGTCACCTATTGCAAAAAAATAGTTCTTTTACATACATGAGAGCGAGAGGACACATCTCTACACAAACATGACAATGCTAAACAGGACAATGACAGTATAGCACTTTCCAAGAATCTAATGACCAACAAAGGAGAGTATATTTCAATACAGAAGAGGCAGATTAATATTAGATTATATAAATTATTGGACTTAAACGAACTCTTTCACTAAAATTCCATGAATTGACCCCTCTTCAGCCATTCATTAATTTATCCTTAAATTGTACAGTTCAATTGTACAGGCAACTCGACAATTTAAGAGTGAGTACAAAATGTATACCTGTGAAGGCAGCTTGGTCATCAACAATTAGCATTCCATCATTACTATCCTCATCTCCTACTAAACTAAAGCTGGCATGCTCACCACCCAATGACTTCTGGAATACAAAAGTGACACATTCAATACAATTACGTAACATGAACAGTAAGTAATTCATCATTTCTGTCCTCATCTCCTAAACTAAAGCTGGCATGCTCACCACCCAATGACTTCTGGAATACAAAAGTGACACATTCAATACAATTACGTAACATGAACAGTAAGTAATTCATCATTTCTGTCCTCATCTCCTAAACTAAAGCTGGCATGCTCACCACCCAATGACTTCTGGAATACAGAAAGTGACACATTCAATACAATTACGTAACATGAACAGTAAGTAATTCATCATTTCTGTCTCATCTAGGCCCAAAGTATTCATCATTTCTGTCTCATCTAGGCCCAAAGTATTCATCATTTCTGTCTCATCTAGGCCCAAAGTATTCATCATTTCTGTCTCATCTCCTAAACTAAAGCTAGCATGCTCACCACCTAATGACTTCTGGAATACAAAAAGTAACACATTCAATACAATTATGTAACATGAACAGTAAGTAATTCATCATTTCTGTCCTCATCTAGGCCCAAAGTATTCATCATTTCTGTCTCATCTAGGCCCAAAGTATTCATCATTTCTGTCTCATCTAGGCCCAAAGTATTCATCATTTCTGTCTCATCTAGGCCCAAAGTATTCATCATTTCTGTCTCATCTCCTAAACTAAAGCTAGCATGCTCACCACCTAATGACTTCTGGAATACAAAATGTAACACATTCAATACAATTATGTAACATGAACAGTAAGTAATTCATCATCTAGGGACACAGTATTCATCATTTCTGTCTCATCTAGGCCCAAAGTATTCATCATTTCTGTCTCATCTAGGCCCAAAGTATTCATCATTTCTGTCTCATCTAGGCCCACAGTATTCATCATTTCTATCTCATCTTGGCCCACATTCTCCACTCACAGACATTTGAAATGCATAATGACACATTTAATACAGTTGGTGATACACCCTTTAACATCATCTAATTCAATAAAACAACAAAATGACTCTGAAATACTCACCACACTCTGAGGACTGGCTGCAGCTGAGCTTGACTCATAGTTAAAGATGGATGGTTCCCCCTGAGAGGATAAGGTAGTGTTAGAGGCACTGTTGGCTATAGCAGTCTCCTCAGTTGGTTGTTTCCTCTTACGTCCTGGCTTGTTCTTTGGTAGTAATACACCAGATTTCTTCAAGCAAACAAACTGTTTTAGGGCGCAATTCATAAGAATTCTAGACATATTGGTCAAGCTGAGTTACAGACTGTCATGTTAAAGTTGAACATCATTAAGGAATAGAACGTATAACATAATGCAAAATGTCACCACCTGTCATTTGTTACAGATGCCAAACACTGAACACAAACTGCTGAATTCTAAACACCATCCACAAAAAGATGGAGTATAGAGCAATTATGTCACCAGTTGTGGTGGTGAATAATAAAGTGATAATATAAAATTGTCTTGTTCTCCTTTTGTTGCAATACTTAATATTTGATCAGTGTCACAATGTACCTTATTCAACAGAAATAGTAGTACTGGAAATCTGATTTCTTTAAAGATCGTTACCTTTGCATGATATTGCTCTCGTTTACGCATACGATCTTTCGCTTTTAATTGTTCCTCTTTCTGCTTCCGATCAGCATCTTTCTGTTTCACTAAATAAAATAAAACAAAAATTCAAATAATATAATTAATTTCATCCAATATTTTATTTTGAGAAAATTACCAGGTATAATTCATTTGATTAGAAAGGTATCAGATTAAAACTATCTTGTTTACAAAATAGAGCTTTAACAACCCATCCACTAAAGTAAGGGACTATGTTTAGAATTAAGAAACAAAATTTCTTGTGAGACAATGCCATACCTTTTGTTGTGAGTTCCTCCTCTTCCAACAGTAGGGAAACCACCTCCTTTGCCTTGAGAACATCTGGCTTGAAATTCTCTCCACTGATTACCATACGCTGGATCTACATAAGAAAATGAACTTGAGTAATTCTACCTATAGCCTATTATAGCTAAAAGCACAGAACATCCTTGTTTGCATTCTTCCATGATAAAACAATATAAAGTTGAACATATGCCATTAACTAAACATTTACCTCACTCTTCTCCTTAGCCCTCTCTAAGATCCTCATCTCTATGCTTCCCTTTGTGATGAGCCTGTACACAGTGACCTGCTTCGTCTGCCCGAGTCTGTGGGCCCTGTCCATGGCCTGCTGGTCAACTGTAGGGTTCCAGTCACTATCATAAAATATCACCTTCAAAAAAGAAAAGAGAATGAGTATAATATAAATATTTATTGGTTCATGAAAATTTGATTTGAAGTTATAATCAGATAAAGTTCATAGATAGTCTTAGTTGTTAGCCCATTTTATGTGAATAAAATTCAGGACTTTTGCATGGTGCATTATGTGAACCATTATAAGCATCAAAGGAGATATGCATTCAAAGCTTATAAGGGTGACATAAATTTGAATCTGGATACAGTTCTTCAATGAGTTTAACTCCAGTAAAACCTGTATAAGTGGAATTCATCTGGTTCCTCAAAAGTATTCCACTTGGATTTTGGGAGGTGTATCACTTACAGAGGTTTATTTTACATTAAAGGCAGAATCAGATCTATAGGGGGTGACAAAATTACATGCAACGTGCATAATTGACCTACCAATCTATTCCTTACAATATCAAATACATTATCTCCCAAAAGTTTGACAATATGTTATAAATTGGTGAAGTTATGAATGATTCAAAGTGCAAAAATGGGTGAAAATGTTTAAATTCTCCCAAATAATAAGAATGGTAACCATTCTTATAGAAAAATAATACATTATTGTAAAAATCTTTCGTTTTCCTTAAATAAAGTATGCACTTTTGTGATTTTTAGAAAATAGACATGACAAGGAATGACATGAGCCAAAAATATTCTAAAATTGAAACAATTTTTTGTTTAGCCTGCTCGCTATCTCTGATTCTCTCTTTAAGTTCATGGGTAGCAGGATTTTAAATGGAGTTCAACTTATGGAGGTGTTCCACTTTCAGTGGTGTTCCACCTTCAGAGGTGTTCCACTTGGTAGGCTTTACTATGCAGTACTTACAGTGTCCGCAGCAGTGAGGTTGATCCCCAGTCCCCCAGCACGTGTACTAAGCAGGAACACAAATATGTCACTCTTGGTCTGGAAGTCCTCTACCATGTCACGCCTATCTGAAATCTTAGAGGAGCCATCTAACCGCATGTACTTGTGCTTTCTGTGCCACATATACTCCTGGAATATACAAATACAAAATATGGTATTTATTTTAACAAGGTTTGCTTATATTAATTCAACCCTGATGAAGAGTCCTGGATATCATTCTGAAACATGTAAATACAAGGCATTAACATGCAAAATGTCACCACCTGCCATTTGTTACAGATGCAAACTGCCGAATGCCAAATGTCCATTGAACACTAACAGCCAAACATTAATCGCTGAACATCATCCACAAAAAAGTTGGAGACTCTAACAATTTGACTCTAACAGACTTTGTTTAAATGCTAACAATTTGATTAAGATTATTGCACTAGAAAGAGACTAAATCTCTGAATGTACTACTTTGAATTCCACTGAATGAATTCCAAAGTTGCAAATATTCAAAACTGAAATGAACTGTTATGTCAAAGAGCTGTACCTCTAGCAGATCTATCATCCGGGTCATCTGTGAGTATATAAGCACTCTATGTCCCTCTGCCTTGAGTCTTGCAAGTAAACTATCCAGCACTTCAAGCTTCCCTGCATCTCTGATCAGGGTTTCTTTATCTGAAAGAGATATAATAATCATACAGTGTTCTAAATTATAAGACTTCATTTACAGTAAAAACACTCTTAAACACCTGTACCAGCGGAAAACTAAGAGACAAGGTACAAATTTGGATAAGGCTAATACTAACTTCAATTTTAGCATTCTACACAACTTTAATACATCTTCCTCATCAGATTGAAACTTATTTTGTTTGATAATAAAATAAACATTTCTTCCCTTATAATTTTGATATACAAGTTCCAACAAAAACCTTTTAAACAAACATTATAATAAATTGTAAAATAAGCATACCTGGTATGAGTACATTAGAGAAGCCATGTTTGGGATGGATACCATAAAAGCCTCCAGGCTGTGTGGGTGAGAAGTACCAGGAAGACCATCGCACCTGAAAAGCAAATAGAAATATAAGATCAAGTTATCAAATTAAACTGTGAACAAAATTGAGAGTGTACATTAAAACATTCTGATAGAATGGATGATAAGGAGTATAACAAAGATTTCAGAGGGCCTGGTTAGAACTAAATTACAAGGCACTAACACGCAAAATGTCACTACCTGCCATTTGTTACAAAAACTGAATGCCCAACTCTATCGCCAATCACTGAACTCCGACCACTCCGGTGGTGGTGACATAATGAACGACAGCATTTACCATCTTGACAATAGTTAATCACTGGACATTCTTCAGGCAAGCGTATAGTACATATATTGCACATTGCTATAAATACATGTCGTATTAAATGCCTACCTGCTCTGCAATCTCGGTGGAGCCATACATGAGACTATCATGGGCAGACTTAGTACCACACAGATTGTCACGTTGACGCTCCCACTCTGCCATACGATCATCACAGTACCAACTGATATCCTTGCAGAATGCCTAGAAATAAACACAAACAAGATTATAACATATTATGAGGTTATATAATGGTTGATTCCGTATATCGTGTTTATACTCAAGTGAGTATATGATATATTCACGAGTGACTGTAGGAAACGAGTGAATACGAGGGGTGATCAATAAGTAATGGACGCTTTTTTACACAGATACTTTTTATGGACCAATACCTTCGATTTTCTTACCAGTGATACATCGTTCAATTATCTATCAACTCTGAAGATTTGAAAATAAGACATGTAATATATTTTGCTATATCTTTATTTCCATGAAGGAGGTATAGGTACCCCGGGACCGACATTTAAGTCAAACATTCTGAAGCTATTTTAGCTTGTTTAACATGCAACGCAGTTGAATGCAGGTTGACAAAACAAACCATTGTGGTCATGAATTACCCCATTATGTTATGCCACAGTTGATTTTGAATATTTTATCATCACTTTGTGGTATATTCATGCCAATTCATTCTACAGGGCCCTCTACATAGGTTCCATCAAGTGCTACATGTACACAATTCCTCATCCTCTAACTCAAGATTGTGAGACAAGGCTGAATCCATTTTCTGACATGGTAGCAAGATGCAGTTGTACGGGTTGTTTTATTTCATCAATGTCAATAAATCTACGTCCCTTCTGTATAGAAATAAGTACTATAAGAATAAATAAGTCACATGTGGGCAGATCTGGACAAAATGGTGCATTGGCCAAGGGCTCAATTTTGAGGTCCAGGGATATTGTTTTCTGAACATTTTGAGATCTGTGGGCAGGTGCATTGTCCATATGGAGTAGGGTGTTCCCTTCTCCCACCAACTCATTCTTCCACAATGCTTCCTCAAATTCCTGCAAACCCCGACCATACAACACTGACATCACAATACTTAATGTTTGTGTGTTACCCGTCAGCAAAATATTTCAAACAACACAACACTTGTTGCTTGTAAAAAAAGTTCAAATCTAACTGAAATTTGCCAAACTGGCAAAAAACTGAAAATGTGACATAAATGTCGGTCCCGGGGTACCTGTACCCCCTTCACGGAAATAAGGATATATCAACATGTATTATATATTTTGTCTTCAAATCTTAAGATTTGATAGATAATTGAATGATGTATCACTGGTAGGAAAATCAAAGGGATTGGTCAATAAAAAGTATCTGTGTAAAAAAGCGTCCATTACTTATTGATCACCCCTCGTATATCATATACTCACGAGAGTATAACGATATACAGAATCAACCATTATATGATCTTATTATCCCAACCTCATATTTAATCAATAAAAGGTTAATCTAAATTCAGCAGTTGTATATCAAGTCAAAGAGTCGTATACGCTGCCCAGGAGTTGTATACGCTATCCAGGAGTTGTATATCGTTCTCAAGAGTTGTATACGATGAGTGTTGGTTTTATATTGCAGTTATACAATGCTATTATACAATCATATAAAGCACTTAGGGTGGGATAAATTCGTATATATCATGTCAGTCTCTCCAACATTTGGGTCATAATGTACCATCCAATATCCTTAAAAGATTAGGACAAAGCCTTCATAATGTATCTCTATTTTCAATCCCGTCAGTGTCAGACGGAACAAAGTATAATTTAGGGTAACTGGTCAACTGGTCCCCAAGACAACTCGTTCTCAAGTCAACTGGTCCCCACCTTTGTTTTATTTTAAATCAAGTATTGAACTGGAAATGGGTAGAGATATACATTATAATTGCTCCATATTGTTTAGAATAGTTTGAAGAATGTAAAAGAGTTTTGGCAAGAATTTTTCTGTTACCACATTCAGTGAATAAACTATGACTAAATCTATGACTAAAATGACTAACCTTAGGTATAGTATAGTAGAGGAATGCTGGTATATATGTTGGCATGAGATCTAGTACTTTAGGAGATCGAGGTGTATGTACATGTTCAGGGACTAGGGGATTCTCATCTTGGTTGGCACCAGGATTTGAAGCTTTCTGAAAGACATAATATATTTGGAATACTGAGTGGATGCACTTTATTCATTATATTTATCATCCAACGACAGAATATCTATAAAATACAAGAACACAAATGTGTACAATATGTCCCCACCTATGGGTGATCCTGTCAAATGGTTATCCTAAAAATGAGTAGACAAGACTTTACCGACACAATTCGAGGACGGAGAATCCAAAATGGGCACCTTAAAATTTACCAAGAATGCCAAAAAATTAGTCAGTTCTAGATTTTCATACTAAGAACCACCCCTGAAAATTTGAAATTGATCCGTCACACAGTTAACCAGAAAACATGTAAACAAGACTTTACAGACAAGATTTGAGGACAGAAAATCCAAAATGGCTGCCTTGACATTTATCCAGAATGCCAAAAACTAATCTGTTCTAGATTTTCATACTAAGAATCATCCCTGAAAATTTGAAATTGATCTACCAAACAGTTCACCTGGAAATGTGTAGACAAGACTTTACGGACAAGATTTTAGGACAGAAAATCCAAAATGGCTGCCTTGACATTTACCAAGAATGCCCAAAAACTAATCAGTTCTAGATTTTCATACTAAGAATCATCCCTGAAAATTTGAAATTGATCTACCAAACGGTTCACCTGAAAACGTGTAGACAAGACTTTACGGGCAAGATTTTAAAACGGAAAATCCAAAATGCTGCCTTGACATTTATCCAGAATGCCGTAAAAATAATCAGATCTAGATTTTCATACTGAGAATCATCCTTGAAAATTTGAAATGGATCTACCAAATGGTTCATCTGAAAATGCGTAGACAAGACTTTACAGACAAGATTTTAGGACGGAAAATCCAAAATGGCTGCCTTGACATTTACCCAGAATGCCCAAAAACTAATCAGATCTAGATTCTCATACTAAGAATCATCCCTGAAAATTTGAAATTGATCTACCAAACGGTTCACCTGAAAATGAGTAGACAAGACTTTACAGACAAGATTTTAGGACGGAAAAATCCAAAATGGCCGACAATAAAAAAGTGATTATGAGTTTTTGCTGAAATCTTTTTTCAAAATTATCACATATAACTACTGTTAACAATAACATAAGCTTTTACAACAAAGTACACCTGAAATTATTTATAAAGCTACTAAAAAGTTAAAGTATGAAAACTGAAAAACACCATTCAATATGATACAAAGTATTATCGTGCGCTAACTTTTCTTAAAACATTCAAAATGGCTGACATGACTGAGCTAACAGGTCCAAAACCTAATCAGATCTAGAATGAAGTGAGCTGAACAAGATGTTAAAGTTTTAAAAGCAACTGTGAAGCCGTTTTTCTTGAAGTTTGCAGACAAGGATTTTAGCATTTGACTTCAAAATGGCCGACAGGAAGTAGGTATCGAGTTAATTTTTTTTCATCCACATCTGTATGCACTCATAAGTTATCCCTGAAAATTTGAAGGTGATATCTGTAGCGGTTTTGGAGAAAACTGCCGGACGTACGGACGGACAGACAGACGGACGCGCCTAGGCCGACAATATGGCCCCACACTATGTGGTGGGGACATAACAAAATTGATGTCCATACTATCTAATATTTACTCAAATGGACAATATTTGTGAAATCTATAAGTGAGTGAAACTTTCTTTAAGGATTCCTATTATAATGGGTTTGCTGTACAAGCACAGGCAAAAATGAAACAAAATGTACAAGTATATCCACAACACATGTACATAAAGTGCCATTTTGGAAACATACAGAAAATTCTGATAATTACTTACTTTGAGGGGTGAAGTTGGCACTTTCTTGGTAGGAGAAGTAGGTGGTTTTCCCACGCTACCGCGGGTTGAAAACCTCCTAGATCTAATCTTCCGGTGGCCCAGGGTCTCTGGGTGATACTGAAGAGTGTGACTGCAATGGGTGTACAGGCTAGACTGGTGGCTTGTAAATATATGACACTGGAGATTCTTTGAAGTGGATACATTTGTGTAATGTGTAGTAGATATTGGCTCAAGCAGGAATGATCTGCGTTCTAAATATCTGAAACATTCCAAAAATTTATAGCATAAATAAATGATAATATCATGTACATGCAATCATATTAATTCAAACATTCTATAGGTTTTGTATGTATTGAATGCATGAACATGAATGCATTTTTAGCATTTAGAATTGCATGCAACATATTAATTCATTTACATAAATACTCAAATTAAAAATTATCAGTTACAGGGTGATCCAGTTTATGGAACATCTGTTCCAAGTTTCAAGAAGATTGGTCCATTAGTATTCAAATGGCAACTTCTGGATCACCCTGTATAATTTAATAATAGCTGACTATCTGCCATACATATTGAGTACATAAAATACCTGATCTGTTTGAGTGGCTGAGCTGCCCATGTTGCCATGTGCTGTATGGTGTATGCCTCCTTCAACCAGAGAAATACAGCCAACCACCTAGTCAGCAGACCCCCATGCATCATATGGTACAATTCCTGGGCCGACATATTGATGAAACGTGTAAATGAGAAGCAACTTTCCACTCTGTTATTGGTCTCATCTATAACAAAAACAACAGAACATCAACAACAATTGTATGTACACAGTTCATGTTGATTTTTGCTGTGTTTTGAATTTAAGTCATGATTGTATTGTTACAAGGATGTCCCTATCCTGCAGTATATCATTCTCCCTGTATAAATATGTATTTTGAAGTATATCCAGATCAATGTCAGTTTTCACATTATCTGCCCTGCGTGAACAGTCTTTATCACGTCACATTCTCTCTCATAACATACACAAGGAATTAACCTTCAAAATGTCACCACCTGGCATTTGTTACAGACACCAACATCTGAATATTGTTACAGATGCTGAACACCAAATGCCAAATACAGCCCACAAAAAAGTTGGAGAATATAACAAAATGTCACAATTTCTGATGGTGACATAAAAATGAAGTTTTCGCAACATGAGAGGGAATGAGCTATGTTTTACACACAGATTATCATTCCATAATGAGGCAATTACAAACCTGTGATTAGTATAGAAACATACCTGTATCTGACTGTGTGTTGAGACTCTCATGTATATGTTGAGGATTATGGATGTAAAACATATTGTACAAGATCCTTTGTTTGCTTGGAAGACTGGTCTCAATGATCCCTACAATCATAGAAACATCAATTCAGTGCTAAACTCCTAATTTTAATTTTGGTCAAACTATGTCATGTTTTGACACAGTGTCAACAAAACAAGGAGAGGTTTGAGGTTCAGAAAAATATAGTCCTGTTGCATGTATTTTATATCAAATCATTTGACTAAATTTTGAACATTTAAGCATAAAAAAGATTTATTCATCATTATTATGATGACCACGTTTTATGAAACACATTTTGAAAATAAGCTCACCATCTCTGTAAATAAGCTTCGGGAATGTGTAAGGGTTTATTCTCATAGTGTATGATGGGGTCCTGATGTCTCGTCTTTCAAATAGCTCTGGGTGGTTACACACCTATAATTAACAATGGTACATCATGCAATGACACAAGCCCTGCTAGCCTCATTTGGGATTTACACATACAGTAGAATTTTTATGTAAATTAATTTAATAAATGATTATGTTTAGAAAAACGTATGGGATGAAAATTGCTTAAGTTACGAAAGTACGATTATGCTAAAGTTTGACAAGGTTAAACATGATCATCAAGGTATGTGAATCAAGAGTTGAAGACAGGTATATAGTCTTACATTATAACATAACTGTCAAAGTATGAACATGTACATGTAACTAAAGAGTTGCAGACAGGTAAGAAGTCTTGCATCAAGCTACTTGGTCACACCCCATTCTCCATCGTATATATCAGGAGAATAGGATACCCAAGCCAAATTGGATCATTTTTGGAACACATGACTAGAGAGCAGGCTAGTTTAATGAATTTAGTACCTTCCTGAATTGCATGACGAGGTTCATGAGACTACTAGTGGAGGTAGAGCTAGAGGCAGATTGGATCAACTCCTCAATGGAGATCTTGTTCTTTATTCCTTGGTACAGCATCTTCTGTCTGGTAGTCAGTGGACAATACACAAGGATCTCTATCTTTCCCAGCAGTTCGTTCTCAACATCTTTCTTCACCCGACGTAACATAAATGGCTTGAGAATCATGTGAAGTCTTGAGAGTTGGGCTGAAATATTTAGTTGTCAGAGTTTACATTACATGAATGTTAAGAAATTTACATTCACACGCATATCATGGTCAAATGTGATTCATATTGACGTTTTCTATTCAGGATTGAATCTTTCATGATGAGAAATCCTTGCTTAATCTCAGAGATTGGTTGCAAGTTTTTCAGAAGACTCAATCAAGTATATCTTTTTAGGGGATGGGTTAAAATATTAATGTTCTTTTCTTCAAGAAACTAATTTAACCAGAGCCCAGACTCCAACCAAGAAGGTTTGTTAAACAATAAAAAATAAATTACATGATTGAAAGCTTTTTTGATAACATAACTTTTTACCCCTGTCTAATGCAACATAATGTAAGAGTGAAACACTACTCAGCTACCTAACACAGTCACTAAACTCTCTCACCTTCGTCAAATCCTGACTGTTTCTCAGCATGGTTTTCAATGTCTTTAGAGAACCATTCGTTGAACTCATCATGTGAGTCAAACATTGTAGGCATGATGAAATGAAGCAAGGCCCACAGTTCAGCCATGGAGTTCTGTATGGGTGTACCTGTCAATAGCAGCCTGTTTCTACAGGAGAATCCCAGGAGCTGCTTCCAGCGTACACTGAAATGAATTACACGCAAATATAAATTGCCCCATCAGTTTAGGGAACAAATATGAACACGCTTGCATATGAAAAGTCCCCTGTATTGTCCAAGTAGACAGGCTTATTTCAAATGAAAAGGACATTTGGTTAGAAATTCTGTTTTGTGTCATCCACTGGAATCTCTCCTCCTAGCTTAAAACGTATTACTCTGTACATGTAAATTAATGTATTTCAAAGTTTGATTTTAAAGTAGATTGCAGAATTTCGCATGAAACCTCACCTTGCACTGCTCTTGATTGCTTGTGCCTCATCTAGTACCATATACTGCCACTTAATGCGATTGAAATACTTGAAATCTTGAATCACCAATTGATAGCTTGTAATCACAATATGGAACGGAGCATCTTTACTATGCATGTTTTCACCCTGCCAAAATTTGCGGAGGGTTTTCCTGTCTGATGTGTTTCCCCAGTATGGCACTACTTTTAATGAGGGGATGAATTTAGCACATTCCTGCTGCCAATTGTGAAGTGTTGAAGCTGGAGCTATCACCATAAATGGTCCCCATATTGATTGCGACTGAAAATGGGTAGAATTGTTTGATATATACATGTACATGACTTCTGAAGTACAAGTCAGTTATATTATATTTAGAATAATTGTAAAAATCTGGATTAACAAACTCTAGATGGGTTATATGTAGACTTATGTCTGTCAGGTCAATTTGGGTTAAGTCAGATCAGACCCAGGTTTAGATTCCTCTTTGAGTCATTTGGGAAGTTCACTGCCACTGAAATAATTGGCTTCCTCCAAATTGGACACCATGGATTCCTTCTGCGCTAGCATCAAGGAAGTATTTTTGAATGACCCAATTCAAGGAGGTAGTAACCTGACCAACCTGCAATTACAAACTAACTTAACTTGACTTACCTCCGCCAAATGAGCCAGAAATGCTATGGATTGCACAGTTTTTCCCAAACCCATCTCATCAGCTAGAATCCCATTGATACCTTGGTCATACAGAGATAGCAACCAGTTCATTCCCTGCAAGTAAATTAAAATTGATGTTACTATATGTCCATTGTGTGCTAGCCATATGCATATGTGTAATGTTAAAGACTAAATATGAGTCTGTTTCACCTGGTTCACTAACAATGTCGCAATATCGTATAAACCATCCAATTTTATTGATTGTCCTAAATATTATGTGAGTAATGATAAGAGATCCCTCATGATAACTATTCCACTTAGAAATATGTACACAATTTGTATAGACTTTCTGAACTTTTCATCAGTCAGAACAGGGTAATTAGATTTTAGCATCAAGTTTAGAAAATACACATGTAATGGGGGTATACAAGCATATAAGGTTTGTGACCATCTATGACACTAAGTCAGTACACTTACCTTCAGCTGATATGCCTTAAGTGTGCCCTCAAATATACTTGGTTGAGGCATGTCCTCCGAGTGGAAGTCAGGGTTGGCTAAACTGGACTCAAGGGTCTGTTCCTCCTTGCCCTGTATCTTGGCTATTTCATTGTCAAACATCAATGTCTTGGATTTGTGTTGCATTAAGGCAGCATTGGCACGGTTCATGGCACGGTTCTTCACCCCCACTTGATCTAAGAAAAAAATTCAAATTCTTCTTGAGGCTTGCTCAGATCTATTGAATGGCATGTTTGTTTTTTAAATTTCTAATTGGAACTTCATGGATAAATTATGAATGAAACAGTTTCATTAAAGTTTTTTTTTGTGAATATGATTTGTCTTGTGATTTTAAAAAGTTGTTTCTTTTAGTTTTTCACTGGTCTTTTATACAGGTCTTGGTTTTTAATATTTACTCACTTTCCATTTTTCTCATTTATTTGACCCAATACGAAGTTTGAGGGAAATAAAATTTTGCGGAAATGTGATTTTCATGATATGATCTCTTTATATTTATCAGATCATTTTCTGAATGCACTTGCAAGGAAAGATGACATCATTGGTCACTCACCATAATCATCTGCATATTGATCAACAATAATATTCCCACTTCCAATCTCTTTGGTCTTATCCACAGCAGTATCTTCAAGACGTTTCAGGATCTGTTCCTTCTTCTCATCTCCCTCCCCAGTTATCTTACGACTCATAAAGTGGGAAAACAGTTCTGTTTGTGTAATTAAAAAGTTGAGTTTTCGTTGTTGACGCTTGGCCTGAAATTCATGTCATAAAAATTAATAGCATGTCGTTAATTTAATCAATTTTCATTTTCCACAAGAACAAACTACTTACTTGAGTAAACTAATAATTTGCAGCATTTAAAATCAAGATATTTACATACTCCAGGTGAAAGTTTACTTGATATGTCCTGGACCTGATCTAACATCTATTGTCACACTTCATAGTTTTGAACTTCGAATATATATGACATTATTATTACTTTTAAAATCTATTTACTTCTTTCAAGTTGAGATCCATTTTTCTTTGTTCGAGTGCTTCTTTCTCGGCCTTCTTCCTTGTCTCTTTCTCAACCTTTTCAAACCTCTTCCAGTATGTCATCACCTCCCGCGTTAGGCGTCGTGCTCTCATTGGTGTTTCCTTGACAACTCTTTGAGATTGCATGGCACTTTTACGCATCTCTTTCACACACTCTTTAGCTACCTGAAAAATATATCTGTGCTTATTGCAAATTCATAGTGATTCAGGGGTTTCACTAGAAATTCTGACAACAGGCTAAATAAATGAAAACAACAGGCAAAATTAATGGAAATCATAAATTTAACATCGAAAAGTTGAAGAATCCCTAAAAACAACAGGCTATTTTGTGAAAACAACTGGTGAAAAGCGCCTGTTGCCTGCTGCTAATGAAAGTCCTGGTGATTGTCCAGTGATATGTGTTCAAGCATTCATTTAATGTATAATTAAAAGAAAATAATTATGATTAGGCCATATCAATATCAAAATAATATTTCATACAACTGCACAATCACTGTTATACATTGGTTTCACGAAGTACCTTAAAGGGTTCCGATAAGCTACCCATATAAAAACAATATGGCAACTCCAGATGAGTCATCTGTGTACTAATACGTTATGGGAAAATCTTAGATGTCAATTTTTCCTTATTATATACAAATATAAGATTCTGAAACATCACCCATAAATGTGAAATTGATTTGTCAAAATAAAACCTACCTTGTGACATGTGACGATCTATTATATACTAATGGTTATAAAAGTTCGAGGTGTTGACGCAACAACCTCGAGCCTGTGAACCCTTGAGCATTATTCAGGGATCGGGCCTTTTATACTAAATGGTGAGCAATACCAGAAATGAGCGTTCAATTTGCTAAACAATATGCTTCACCATTTAACATCAGAGACAGCTCTTGGCTTTTCCTTTATATTCTGTTCTTTACATATCAGGTTAATTAATGTTGTAAATCTTACTTTTTTATGCAATTGTAACATTTCTTTCCTGGCTGATGCTCTTGCTTTCTGGGCTTTGCTGACCTCTTTTTTCATCATTCCCACCCACAATCGACGACGTTTCGCCGCAATCTGTTCTGGCGTGAACTTTTTGGTTTTTGGATCTTTGGATTTTTGAGCAAACATTTGTGCTTCATGAGCCTGTTGTTGTTTCTGAGCGAGAAAAGCTCGGATAATTTCTGGATCAATCTCACCATTCTGAAAAATAAAATAATATTTATATTTTATATTGATCAAGAAATATGTGACATTTTCTTAATATATGTACATGTACATGTACATGTACAACCATTCTGGAAAACTTAAAAATATGATTATTGATAATCCAGTTTTTCCAAGCAACAATTTGTATGTTAAATTTTTCATAAACAGCCAATCAATTATAAGATGCCTTCTGGGTACAAACCTCTTGCATTTGCATGATTTGGATTTCCTGTCTCCTAAGTTCTTCTTCAGATTTCTTCATTTTGGCTGAAATAGAGTGTTACAAAAATCAGAAATATGCAAATCATAAAAATAATGTACCTAATAACCTCGTAATCATAATTTGATAGGTAAAGAAGGAATAGTTGTTTTTAAGAGTACTCATAGAATAATTACACAGTACATGTATGTTTGTGACTAGCACAGGCAAAAGTTAGCAGGAAAAAACTCGGACTGTTGCAGAAAATAACTTATTCAATACATGAGAAAAAGGGAAATTACCTTTCATTAATTTCTTTTGTTCTTTGGCTAATTTCTTCTTGGGCCCAACAATAAGCTTCTGTTGCTGGTAGAACTTGTCTTGCTGACTAAGCAGGCCTACACTGTAGTATTGGTACTGCTGCATCTAATGTAAATCAAGAGGAAAAGCTTTAATTTCATTCTGTTATACCACAGTTCCGTCAATCAGGGGTCTCTTATACTTTAACGTCAGACCTTTTTATACCTTATGATTTTATGGCTCTTATAACTTATATCAATACAACAACATTTTGCATGTAGGATCTTGGAAAGTTACAAAATATTATACATGTACTATATGTGACAAATGTACAAATGTTTTGAAATGACATTGAGTAATGTGAACATTTATACAATCAAAAGAGATAATTTGTATATATATAACTTTTATTGACATATTGTATCATTACATGATTACATTAGTCACGTATAATACATGTAAAAGAAAAGATGTTCAAGATTTGAGGTAGACTACTGATACAGTGCTGCATACAAACCCCCAAGACTGCTCAGATTTGAGCTTGTTTATAAGGGAGCTCAGTTACAAGCTTGACAAAATCTAAATGGTTTTTCTGGTTTGTATACTGGATAAGGCTCATACATTGGACATAAATTTTGAGGCAGTTGAGCACAAACAATAGTCTTAATTGTTTATATTACCTCTTTGTCTCTGTAAAATTCACTCTGACTGCCCCTTTGTAACTTATGCAGCTTTAACATAGTATGCAGGTTGTCAACAGTGATAGGTGCAGACTCCTCGTCTGATGATGTGTCACTCAGTAGGATATTCTGAAATATTTATTAAGATTATCTTCAAATTCATTTTCATTATCACGTGTACAGGCTGTCAAACTAATCTACAAGAAAAGTGCTTTGAGGTTTCAAAGGGGTACATTATTTATCTTCACATTTGTGTCCCCACAATGTTGTTGTTTTGCTCAAACTTGCCCTGTATTAAAATACAACTGCAATTTCATCCATTGCACAACTTATATTTGCAAATTGTGATTGTCACACTCCCTACTTACCTTCAGCCATTTTCTACTCTTCTTCACTTTGCTGAAGTTATACATGTGTGCTTTATCAGCCCTCCTTTCAGCCTTAGGTATAACAACACCTTGGATGATCTGATTGCCTTCCAAGTCAGTATCTGAGTCTTTTGTCACATCAGACTCTGAGTCTCCCATCTCATCTCCACTGAAATACAACAATAGAAAAAATATTCTCATTATATACAAAGAAAAATTAGCAATTATCATGTTCAAATTTTAGAATCTCAAATTCAAGGGGCCCGGGTCAAGGGGCCACCATGCTCAACTAAAAACTTGTTTCTTATTCTGCTATACTTGCTCATTTTCAATTTCATGAAATGAAACTAGCTTATAAAATACACTGTCAGCTTGATTAAATTTCTGCTATGGCTGGTACAAGAGGCAAACAGTTGTATCTTCAAATTCTGTAATTGACAAGTATATTTACTATCATCTCCTACCTGATAGGGTCATTGAGCATCCCCTCAACATAGTTGAGCAAAGGGTTTAGATTGAGTGCCTTCTCAACTCTCTGGATATGTATAGGTGCAGCTAAATCCCGACTTGTCGCAGCTGCTATGGGGGCCTGGCTAGACATCTTGCCTCCCCCTAAAAATAAATAAATCTCTTATGGCTTTTTATCAGTTTAGGAAAAGACTGATCCCATCGACACTGGACAGGAGGACAGGTAGCCTCAAAACAGGGTTAAAGTGAAAGGGTAAAAATCGATCATATGTGTAAAAGACTGAACATATGTGTAACCTTAAATTATTAGATATAATTCAAATTCGAATGCATGTCAATCATATTCAGTATTTTTCATTTTTTACACATTCAGTTGTTTTTAATTTTGTTAAAATGGTTCAAATGAAAGACAAGCAAACAAATCCCCCAGACTAAATTGTCCTGACTAAGTTTCCAGAATAATTTTTTGCTGAAATTATTTCTAATGAAAATAACTTCAAGTTAATTGCTATTGTCAGACTTAAGATGATGTAATGTCAAGCAGATTGTTTGCAGACTGACCAAATTAAGATGTTACGTTTTGTGTTTGTGGTTTTCATCATGATTTAAAATGGTTAAGACATGTTTTAATCACAACCTTGTAAAGTCACTGTTGTCATTGAACTCTCAGGTGACTGGTCAATGGTTCACCTTTTTCGTGAATCTGCACCCCGCTGCTTAAAGACTCTACCGCTGCAGGCCCGTAGCCCGTGGTTGTACCAAGGGGAGCTTTCGCCGAGGGGGGGAACTTTTTGACAGTTTTTGGTCAAAAAATCATGCGACAAGTGCTCATAATGGTGAAAATTTGCATGCTTTTGAAAGAATTTCTCACATGCTATCTATTGCAAGACTAACGCCTGGTGTAACCGTCACCATATTATTCGGTGTTTTTTAAGTAGCGCAAGGATCCTGCCATGACCATGGCAGTGTTATTTTGTAACCCTGGTATAACCGTGACAACGCTGTATTATATTGCAAGGCCTGTCATGACCGTGAGTGTTATCGTGGAAGCCTGGTGCGGCCGTAGCATTTACGTTTAATTTAAGAATTTTTTATTGTTGTTTGTTAAGTAATTTGTTTACTATCCACTTTTAAATAAATTGTTTATTAGCGTGACACAAATAACTTGTTTTATTCTGTGTAAATGATTAATTATTTTAGAATATGCGGAAATAATGTGAATATAATGTCTAGTAGTAATTTTGATATTAACATAATTAAGGTATTTAAACACCTACATCACCTCTCGCATACCTGAACTTGCAATACTACATTACACTGCCACGGCGGTCATACCAAGCCTTGCAATACTATATTACATTGTCACGGTCATGGCAGGCCTTGCAGTACTGTATTACATGGTCACGGCCACGCCAGGCCTTGCAGTACTATATGACATTGTCACGGTCACGCCCGGCTTTGCTATAAACATTGTCACGGTTATAGCAGTCCTAATCATAAATTATTGCAAGGCCTGTCATGACCGTGGTAATGTTAAAGCCTAATATGACCGTGACAATGCTTATAAGGCCTGTCATGACCGTGGTAATGTTAAAGCCCCGTATGACCGTGACAATAGTTGCAAGGCCTCTCATGACCGTGGTTGTATTTAAAGTAGCATGAGAACACTGTAATGACAATTTCCTAATTTTTACTCATAAATAATTTGCGAACAAACTAGAGTCAATACGTCCAAATCCAAACAGGGGGGTAAACACGAACGGGTTCCAAATAATGGCAAGCAGATCATTGAATTGAATAATAGTACCTCTACTACCTCTACATAATATCTATAGCCTGAAAGATACAATATAATGATGTATACCAACAATCTTACAATAAAATAATCAATTATGATGATTTAGGTGTTCGGAATTACCCCCATGCTAGTGTTTGGAATTACCCCCACAAACTCTGTGCGTTTAAATTAATAGATATCAGTAATAAATGATTTAAATTTTGGTTTCTTGATATGCAGGGGTGACAGGATCCAGTATCATAAGTTAAGGGTATCATATAATGATATACCATCAATCTAATAATTAAAACAATTAAGTTTAAGTTAAGTGTTTGGAATTACCCCCATGCAAGTGTTCGGATTTACCCCCCAAAAAAACTCCTGTTCGGAATTACCCCCCTAAAATACCTTGTAGTAAAAATGGAATAACCCAGATATTTTTTTACAATTTTTCGTAATTTTTTCTGCAAATGCATTCTACAGTGGATAATACACATAATATATATAGAATCATAGCATAGATGTGCAGTACAGCCAAGCTAACTACATTTTTTGATGGGGGTGTTTGGAAATAGACGTACTGACTCTATATCTCTACTCTCATTCAAAGAGCTTCGATTCGAAAGCATATATTTTCTATAATGATCAATTAATAAGATTTATTCATAAAAAATACCAACAGCAACGGGTCATTAATGTCATATAAAGGTTGCGGTCGCGCCAGGCTTACACGATTACACTACCACGGTCATGGCAGGCATTTTAATATAATACAGCATTGTCGCGGTTATTAGGCTTTCACGATAACATAACCACGGTTATGGCAGGATCCTTGCGCTACTTAAAAAACACCAAATAACATAGTGACGGTTACGCCAGGCGTTAGTCTTGCAACAGATAGGGTCTCGAATTTCTGGTGGAACCACAACACAAGAATCGAAGAGAGCCTATAACTTCTTATTCGCTATTGCCTTTTTGAATGCGAGGCCAGTGGTTCAAAGTACGGAACATTTACTCTAATTCCTTTTTGAACTAGGCTAATACATATTTTGTCTCTCAAACCATTGGCTATCACTTTTATGCATATGATCATGGCATCACAAAATGCAATGTGGAATCTGAACATTGTCGATGTTCAACAAGATAATTTTATCTAAATACAACGTAACAGTGGATGAACATGGCCTATATTCATAGTAAATTTATTGAACTAACCGAATGCACAAAATAAAACGGAGAAGCATGTTCAAATTGACTCTGTTTCATCTTCAAATCAACAATCAAATCGGTCTTCGAATCGTTCAGAAAAACATGGCCCACTTTACATCAGGGATTACATACCTTTTTAATCGATTTGAGTTGCGATAGACTACATAGAAGGGGTGCAAAGTCCACAGAAAAGAATTCACCAATATGGCGTTTATTCAGCTGCATAGATCTATGGCAGAGGGCGGCAAATAAGAATGCACTCATGACTTTCCTCTTGCTTCGCGGGGGGCACCTGCCATTATCGGCAAATTCTCATAGACTGTTTTAATATCTAAAAAGACATATTTTCTGATTCATTGATATGAAAACGAGAACATATTAACAATTTACTTAAGTTTATCTATTTACCAGATTATTTTGCCAATAAATATAAAAAATATTACAGATTCCATTTCCCGCAAAATGTTGAGAGACTATGACCTTTCAACTTTACGGAATAGTACGGAAATAAATTCAAGTCATATTTCTGCTTTAATTTGTACTACCATCATAAAATTATAAATAATCAATATATATCATATCTTACATTGATTCATTTAGTCGTCTTTTTACAATTTTGATAAAAAAAATGTGCCTGAACTCCGTGCCGTGAAATTTGTAGACCCCGAATTAGCCATCTTCTAGAAAAGAGAAAGCTTTGCCGATATTATTGCAGAAGAGATCACAAATTGCACGTCTTTCACAAACAAGGAAGTAAGTATACATTACTAGAAACATACATCAGAATGTCCTCAAATGTATTACAATAATTTTAACTGGATATATAGGATAAAATGCATGCTTTTGGGTGTTCAAATAACAAGATTGTCGTAAGTTTTGCGTGTTGATTTTTTAAATGGGGCAGTTTTCTTTTCGATTCTTACTGAATTCATGAGGTTATCTGTAAAGCTTTATAGTCATAAATATGTTATTTGTGTGCCTTTGCTTTCATATTCCTTAATTTTTACAGGTTGAATTATAGGAATTATTACTAACAAGCGATGAATAACTAACATTGGAAATTTTTGTAACCTTCAATTTTGACCCAGTAAGCTTAGGGCTAAGGCTTAGCCTTCCCCTTTCTTTGTGTAGCCAAGTTTTGCACGATGGATTCATTAATTAGACCACTTCATTTGCCCCGTCATCGTGCTAAAAAATCGCCCTACTCTTTAGATAATAGATTTGCATTCCATTTGTTCTGTACAGTTGGTTTATGCTACTAACTTGTAGTGAGAATTGATGGCTTTAAAGTTTTGATAAAAAAAGAAGACGATGCCTCGAACTAGATTTCATTCGTGGGAAATTCTGTTCATTCAAATTTTAATGGGTTCCCATTGAAGTCCCGCATAAACTCACTTTTGCACAAAGCGAAGAGTACACGTTGGGTCAAATGTGATGATTTCCAGCCAATTCATAAACTCATAAGCCAACCTTATAAGCCTTATAAGCATTCCTTGAGAGTAATTATTTTTAACGTCTGAACTTAGAAGATCATGTACGTAAGTTGGAGAGCATGAAAGGATGTCTTGCTATTATTTACATAAGAGTCCATTTCACTGTTTAACTGCGTCAGTAAAAGCTAAAAAGAAAGAAATCAAAATATCATTTTGCAATAATATATGGAAAAATATATTCCTATTGTACATGAATGACATTTGTATATCTTGGATTGCTTCTAGTTTGGCTTATAAAGTGTGTGGCCTCTTATATTTGGATGCTTCTCTGCAATGTTATTTTCAATAAGATTAACATGGCTGAAATTCTTCAAATTACAAGACGGCACAGACTTATTGCACAAAAAACTAAAAAATCTGAAATATACAAATGTCATTCATGTACATTATGAATATACTTTTCCATATATTATTGCACAATGGTCTCCTTATTTCTTATTCTTGCCGTTCTGACGCAATGAAGCAGTGAAATGGACTCTAGTCTCCATTATTGAATGCAGCTTAAAATTGTTAAATTGTTCCAAACTATTAATTAAATCAAAAGCCAAATAGTTTGTTTATACAGAAATATTTATTTTATAGCTTGGCCTGTTGATTGGATGACTTTAACCAGCTGAGGTCAGGCACTCTCTAGCATTAGGTCATTTCTTTTTTTGTAGGATGACAACACGTATTTATATTGGTCACTTGTCCAACCGGGCTTCTGAACGAGATGTGGAGAGATTTTTAAAAGGATATGGCAATTTCCGAGAAATCTTATTAAAAAATGGCTATGGTTTTGTGGTAAGTAATGATAAGTAAAAATTCATGTTTTAATTACAGAATGTCTACCCGCATTTACATAGGCAGACTTTCACACAGAGCTAGGGAACGGGATGTTGAGAAATTTTTCAAAAACTATGGCAGAGTTCGAGAAGTCCTTTTAAAAAATGGTTATGGTTTTGTGGTAAGTGAAGGGTGACTGGTGTTAGGTTGCACAGTTTTTACTTTCGCTCGAACTGGAAAAATTATCAACATCCAATTATGCCGTAATGGTATATCTCTGCTTTCGTGAAGGAATGTCTTTCTTCATAGAGTGCAAGGGTTTGTTTTCAAGTCCATACATATTTATTTATCTCCTCTCTATTAGATGGGAATGTTAATTGTCTGAATAATGAACAACAAATTTGCTGGATCTAACTCCCGATCTTAACAACCTTTATTTTCACAAATCATCATCCGAACGCTTAACTTTTCAATTTGTAGATATGTTTAAGAATTGAATATTTCTTTTCATTGTTGGAACCATTTTGACTTTAGTCAATGATCTCCCCACCATTCGAGCAACCAGATACCCTGTTGATTATCTGTTTGGACCCTGTCCCAATGAGGAAAATATTTTAAGATTTAACACCTGTTGTGTAAAAATCCTGGAGAGATCAGTATTTCAATATTAATATCATAATATTTGTATTTTTCCAAATCTCAAGCATTTACTATTAGTTATACTACTAAGAATAGAAGGCAAATTATTGTATTGATTTATTACAAATTTTGTATTATTTGTTTGATAGGAATTTGAGGACTACAGAGATGCAGATGATGCTGTGTATGAACTGAATGGCAAAGAGCTGTGTGGTGAAAGGTAAATTGGGTTGTCTTTATCAAATTTGTTAAAAGAAAGTCTTGTTTGTGGAAACTTGTTACTTCTCTAAGTCAGTGTAACATCCGTACAACCGCACATATTTTTTTTCATTTTGCAGGGTGACAATAGAGCATGCTAAGGGTACCAACAGAGGTCGCGATCGTGGATACGGAGGCGGCGGTGGTGGCTATGGAGGTGGCGGCTATGGTGGTCGTGACTATGGCGGTGGTGGCAGACGCAGGTACAGCGACCGGTAAGCAGCTTCCAGTGTTTAGTGCTATAGTAAAACCTGTTGTTCATCCTTGAATGCCATAGTCATATTATTTTATTGGAACATTTGGACTCGGCTTACATGTTAAAACATGAATGGAATGATTTGATAAACTAAAAAGATAAACTGTACAGGTTTTCTGTAGTAAGTTTTGTTAAAACTTGAGCTGCTTTCAAGGCTAAGATATGTAATAATACACTTAGTGTTAACATTAAGTTTGTTGAAGAGAAATACAAATTAGTTTATTTATTGTAGTGATGATGGGAAGCCCATGAATTCGAGGCAAGTTACATTATTTAGTGAAGAAATCTCTGCTTAACAGTGCTCATTCTTCAATTATGAATTTACTGCGGTGGAATGGGAACAGTTATATTAAAAATCATCTTTTTGATAATGTAAAATTCAGACAGAAATCCACAAATTTTGTATTATTTTCTTATTGTCTGTTTAATTTTTCAGATATGGTCCACCAACGAGAACAGAATACAGACTCATAGTAGAGAATCTATCATCCAGAGTCAGTTGGCAGGTATGATAAGACATTCAATAGACCAGGGCTTCAATCTTGTTCTATATGGCCACTTGTGGCTTCTTGTCCAAGATTCAAGCCTCGTTGATTCTTCAAGGGTCTGATCCATTCTTTTCTTTCCTTGAGCTCTAACTCCATAGAAAATATCAGTATTATCCAGCTCAGAAATTGGCTCGTCTTATTTTAACTTTGCAACATTTGTTGTATCAATTTCAGGGTTTTAATTACAGTACTATTTTTTTAACATTGAGATTTTGATTTAGAGATCAAGTTATTCATCTGATATATTGTTCATTGTAGTTGCTAGATATTTCAGAGTGGTGTATAAAACATCCAAGTTTGCGATCCTTGAGTAATATATCTATGAATTGAAATACATATTTAACTTTAAAAATTCAGTGTGAATGAAGTGCTTGAATGTTTGAGTGTATGTGTGTTGGATGAATTATGAGAAACTGTTCACATTCAAATCAGGATTGAAGTGCTCTGATAACTTACTCCTGGTTGTGTATATAATATGTATTTAAAGCACCAAAATGACCTATTGGAAGTAAGTTATGATTGCATTGGACAGACCCTTGTATTGTATTAAAATGATATATGCTTGTGCTCTCTCCCTAAAGCTAACTTGATGATAAACCTCGAGGAGGGCTCGTACTGTCTAATTCCACAGTCAGAGGGTTCTAGTGTAAATCAGGCTAAGAGTTGTTGAAAGTACCACCTTCCACTCCAACCTAAGTATCCACTGGAGTACAGGTTCTCGGGCTCCAACTGGCTTAGCTTTTAGTTCTATCTAGGACTATTAGCTAAGCTACCTATTATGAAGGGCGAGGAATAAACACGGAGTGTTCTCTAATCTCAGACCGAGTCAGGCAAGAGAGACTTTTCAGGGTGGTACACTCCTACCATCGCGCTATAGGGTTGAGCAAATCTTGAGTTGACTGTTGAGGGCACCTATAGAGGTTACACCGGTCCTGGCCTAAAGTGGCTGTTGTAGTGAATCAGACACCCACCTTGCACACCTCCTTGGGCCTCCTATAGGGTACAGCTTATATACATCATTAGGTAATCTATCATTTACAGTGTTGTTAATGTGAATTATTTATTCACTGTCAGGTAACATTGTTCCTCAGATATCAGTCAGTAATATTCATCTGTCAGAATTTTATGAAAAATTAACTCAAAATTTTAATGGTTTATGAATTGCAATTTACTTCTCATATTTTGGCATGACAGCAAAAACTGAATTAATCAAACTTGGACTCAGGAGCAAGAAAATAGTGATGAAAGAGGGACTTATGCAGGGGTAAAGGGACTGGATTGATGGAGGGATCTAACATGATGGGACATCAGTAGAAGTCAGGTTGGAAGCTCAATATTTGTGGGACCAATAAATACCGTCATAATGAGGTGTATGCGGCCCTGATGTTTTGAAGTCGAAAGTTTCGGACCAAGTCTAAAGCCCTGTCATTTCGAGGTGTTCTCCCTGGATCATTTGAAGTAGAATCTAAGGGACGGGATGCCCTGTCATTGCGAGGTGTGCGCTACTTTGGAGTTTCGAAGTAAAGAGGTGGCCTGGTGCTTGGTGGAAGTTGAAAAAGCCTGCTCAGTGGAACCGTACATATCTACATATGCAACTGATACACAAGATACAACTCAGTACATTGCCTATCAAATCAGAACCTTTAAAATCTTTAGTATCAAAATCAATTAAATTTTTAAACATGATTATCTAATAGGTGTGTAATGCATGACCTTACCCTTTCTTTTAAGGATCTTAAAGATACCATGCGTCAGGCTGGGGAGGTGAATTATGCTGATGCTCACAAACGCAATAAAAATGAAGGGTGGGTGTTAACATAACTCAATCAAAACTTTTAAGTATACATACCCCCCAAGACGCCTGGTGCTTTAGACAGACAGGGTAAGGCCATTGATTGTTTGCTTTCTGTCTTCCTTAAGGGTCTCAAGGATTACATGAGGAAGGCTGGAGAGGTAAACTATGCAGATGCCCACAAAAAAGAAAAAAATTTAGGGTAATTTATGATTCTCTTTTCTGTGTTGTTCTAAAGGATCTGAAAGATTACATGCGCAAGGCAGGAGAGGTCGCCTATGGGGATGTTGATCACCACAGGAATGAAGGGTAAGTGACACACCAACTCATGTGTCGATTTTTGTGTCCATATTTTATGACATGCTAGTTCTAAGTCACTCACAGGACATGATGTCTGACGATTAGATGACCTGTCAATTGATGCTCATTTCTGATGTCTGATGCCCCTTCATTCCAAAACTTGATGTCAGATGACCTTAATAATGGAAAAACTTGATGTCAGATGACCTTAGTATTCGAATAACTCTTGATGTCAGATGCTCTTTATTTCGAAATCTTTAAATTCGATGCCCATTTCTGATGCTCCTTGATGAATCGGAAGTAAATTCTGATGACCTTTGAAGTTAAATCTGAAGTAGTTCTGAGGACGTAGATGAGAAGCAAGATTGTGTGGTATAGTGGTAGTTTCAAACTTTCATTGATGCATGGCAATTATTGTTCAGTTGTGAAGATATTTCGTTTCCTGGATATTTTTTATTGTTCAAGTTGTATGTATTTATGTTGCAATAAGGCTTTCAGATGTATAAAGCTTATTGTTCAGACAAATTGACGAAAGTAGTGTTCAAAATGCACATTTATTTGTATTTTCAACATCGGTTATAATATCTCACTCATATTTTCAGTATTGTGGAGTTTGCAACCTACAGTGATATGAAGAACGCCCTTGACAAACTTGATGATACAGAAATCAACGGCCGTCGTATAAGACTGATTGAGGACAAACCTAAGAGATCAAGCAGAAGAAGGTATGTGAAATTTTCAATTGTGTTCCATGTAATTTTTGTCGATAGATCTTATCACTCCAATGAAGATATTCAAATTTTACTACGTTTTAGAGACTGGTTTGTAGACTCATTTATGTAATGGATATCTACAATATAAAACAAATGTTCTATTGACACTGCTACCCACCTAATTACACAGACATATCGTCGGTGTATCATGGCGGAACTTCCTCCGGGACTAGGTTTCGGAAAGATTTTTTATTTCCCGATTTACACCTACTTATAAGTCACGTTGTGGATAATAATTTGGCTCGAAGTTAAGGAAGATAGTCTAGTTTGAGAATGTGTCGATGGTTTTAGGTTTTATATGTTAACAAAGACACAATTCACGTAATAGTCCCTCGCTTTTCTTACACTGACGAACGACCAATATCAGTGTAATATTGGCAATATTAATGCCGATCGTCAGTGAAAGAAAAGCGAGGGACTAAATATGTGAATTGTGTCTTTGTTAACATATAAAACCTAAAACCATCGACACATTCTCAAACTAGACTATCTTCCTTAACTTCGAGCCAAATTATTATCCACAACGTGACTTATAAGTAGGTGTAAATCGGGAAATAAAAAAATCTTACCGAAACCTAGTCCCGGAGGAAGTTCCGCCATGATACACCGACGATACGTCTGTGTAATTAGGTGGGTAGCAGTGATTGAATAGTTTGGTTCAGAAATGTTAACTACTCAGAATTTTTCAAGAAGAATTGTTTCATGGATTGGACATCCTCAAAGATGAAGCTGTTAACTCCTACTATCTGTACTATTGAAAAGTTGCAAAACTTTGAACAACACTGGGACTTTCAGTGATTCAGTGATGATCCTATTTTTTTTACTATACCTAGACAGTATTTTGACTCATTTAAAAGAAAAAATCATTTTTTAAAATTCAGAAACAAGATAAAGTGGATGAATCACTTGTCTCTGAAAAGTTCCCAGTTTTTTGGCAATTGTTATTAATTCTATTTTAGTCGTTCCAGGAGTCGATCTCGCTCCAGGTCTAGGAGTCGATCCAGGTCTCGCTCTAGGTCTCGTAGATCCCGTTCACGCTCCAGATCCAGGAGCCGCAGCAAGTCAAGGAGCCGCAGCAAATCCAGGAGCAAGAGCCTCAGCAAGTCGAGGAGTAGAAGCAAATCTAGGAGTAAATCTCGTTCTAAATCCCCAATGAAGGATGATGACAAAGATGATAAAGATGATTAGACAGTGATAAGACACTATGAATGAACAGAGAGTCTGTGAGACTCACATTCATTTTATGGGGGAGGGAAGGGGTCTTTTCAATTGTAATTTTTCTCACTGGGAGGGTTAAAGCATGTACTAATGATATTGTGGAAGATGGTAGGTGGGGTATGTGGTTGAAAGTATTTTGTTACTGTTCAAATAGATTCATTTTACAAAAATCATGCCTTACAACTTAAAACCAACACTTATTAATAAGTGCTTAGAAATAAGGTTAATTTTTGGGGAGGGGAGGGTTTTCATAAGTTGTCAAGGTTACGTGTACAACTTGGGGAGATTTTATATATTTTTTGATGTACTGTTGATTGTAGATGTAAGTGAATATTCACAAATATGATTGTCACATGTAAATCAAATTAAATGTCATTCTTCTATGTAAATATTAAGTCATATATGCACATTTCATATTCATGGTGAGTATTTCTTAATCTTGCAAAAACATATTTTTAGTTCAAGTCATTCTACTGAACAATCATTATATCGAGCATTCAAAGAAACATGTGGCAACACTTTATTGTATGTAGGAAAGCAAAGGAGAAATAAATTAACTGTATAAATTTGAAATATACTTGTATGTTGTGGTATAGTTGGTATAATGTAGATGTGTATTATGTCGCCACAAGAAGTGGTGACATATTGTTATTATCTCCAACTTTTTGTAGTCCTAGTTGGCGTCCCTAATAAATTACAAGTGGTGACATTTTGCATATTAATACCTTGTTGAGAATATCCAGATAAAAATGACTAAATAACAGCTCATCGACTGTCACAATAAAGTTGAATTATATATAGATTTTAAAGTGGTTCGATTTGTGGAACAAATAATTTATATTTCCGTACATATTTTAAATGGTTCCAATTATCAGAACTCCGCATGGTTGAACAAAATTGAACCACTTAAAAATCTACCGCATATATAATTCAATTTATTTCAATTAATTATGAATCTACCAAACCAACCCAACCCAAACTTTTAAATGAAGATTCCAAATGTTTTTGTCAATTTGGCTTGAATAATTAATGATGATAATCTGGTTTATTTGTACTTGCTTCTAGTCCATTAGCTAGGATTCCTAACCGTATGAAGTTTCTGGCAGTTATAGTTGATAAGGTAACCGGACAACTCGACCACTTTTTGAAATGATGATATTAAAGGCAGAATATGATCTATAGGGGGTGACAAAATTACAAGCAACATGCATAATTGACCTACCAATCTATTCCTTACAAGATCTCCCAAAAGAGTCGCAATATGTTGTAAATTGGTGAAATTATAATGGAATCAAAGTGTGAAAATGTTTAAATTCTCCCAAATATTAGAGATTTCGCACATAAGTGAAAGTACGACGTATACGTAAACTTCAAAGGGTCATGTCGAACTATTATATTATATTTACTAAAAACTTCATAATAATGGAACATAACTATTCCCGATATAGAAAAGCTCCACCAACTAGAGACTGTGAATGCACTGCCATCCTTACGTGTAGATTATGCACATTATAATTAAATGCTTGATTCCGTGTCCTAGTAGTTGTAGTGTATTATAAACACGATCCTTTAAAGTGAGTCATGATCCTTTAAGGTTCAGCTGGAAAGAAACATTTTGGTAAAAATTGCTATACCTGCACATGTTATTTTCTGGTACAAAATTAAGTATGAAGGTATGTGTTTATTTCCTTGCTTTTTTCAGGAAAGTATATTCTTTTACATGTTTTAGTAAACCTGGAAACGGGCCAATGGTAGCTACTGTGTTGTCTGGAAACTTTGAAAGAAAATTTGGAAAATAGAAAGTGTGAAATATCAGAATTTCCAGGAGTTCCCATTGAACTCCTTCCAGATATTCTAGTGTGTCTCAAAAAAATGTTACACTTACAAAAAGTTCAATATCTTTCATAATTTTGACTTTTCCCCTAAAATATACTTTGGATATCAAAAGACAAATCTTTCTTGAATAATTTGACACCATCAAATTCAAAATCTGTCATTGATTGGCTCCACAGGACAGCTTTTAGTGTCCCATGGTAAAATCTGACTTGCGCCAACTTCTAAGTGATTGGAAGGACCAAATGACAAAAGAGGAACAGTTTCTTTAACATTTAACTTTCTTCTGAGTAGAAGCTTGACCTTTAACTGAGTCATTCTGTAAATCCTATTTGTCTTACATATGATCATTGGGTCTATCCACATAAACATGTGGTCCCCTCAACATGTTCTCCAAAGCAAATCTGAGGTTCCCTTGCCCATGCGCACATGCATTGTAATATCACTCTGATTCCATCAATTATTTTTGCAGGGGTTCATTTAGGTCAGTTTGTGATGCTGTAAAGCTCTTTCAGAGGCCTTTCAAAAAACCAAGGGAAGGGTGTAAAGTGGGATGACCCTGGGGGCCAATCCATTGGGTAATTCAATGCTAACTTCTGATTTCCAAAGAGTTCTACCAAACGATCTGCCACAGGCCTTTGTACCATCCTGTTGACATCATACATAACAAGATTGAACACTCTGACAATGAAATCTTGTATTTCTATCCATGAAAGAAACAACTGGATCATTGATCATATCAAGATATCACTGTCCACAGCATGCACACCAAAAAAGAATTGATCACCACATGTCCAACCACTGAGTAGTTGGCGCACATCAGATTTCACATGCGTCTATAAAATCTGTCATGTGCAGCCAATCATGGACGGGTTTTGAATCTGATGGTATGGATTTAATCGAGAAAGACTGGTCTTCTGGTATCTAAGTATATTTTTGGGGAAAAGTCAAAATCATGAAAGATATTGAACTTTTTGCAAGTGTAACATTTTTTGAGACACTGTATACCACCCTATGCAGACAGAGCCTGTGGGAAATATTGGGTGCGGAGCAAATGAGCGGAGGGTGCGGAGCTAACGGTCATTTTTGAATTTAAATTTGGGATATTTCTGAAACTAAGCCGTTTTGGGACTTCAAATATACCAAGATATGTGTATTTGACACCAAATATCAATACAATTGTGAAAATAGTAGCGCAATTCATTCTATAGCGACGCAGTGTGCCTTAAAGATATGCTATACAGATATGTAGGTCAGTATTACATAATCGTGAAATGAATAAGTCTGAATATATCATTGGTCAGAAAACACTAAAACCTGCTTGAAACTGTAAAAGTTTATACACTCCATTCCACACTGTATAGAAATAAAATAACTTAGACTATAAGTAACTGTGAGCCAATCATTGCATAGAAAAAACTTTATGCACTGTTTATAAGATTCACTGAGACAAGTGGGTCAATACTTCGTGTACTTTATGTGCTCTCACACAATTACCTTCCCTTGCATAAAGTTGCTGTACAGTTATATGTAACTGAATATTGTATATTCATCACAAACAACCTTAGCAAAATGATGGTTCGACGAAACGGACGGTTCGCTAAAACCAATAAACCAGGCAATTCAGGCCAATTTGGAAAGAAACTAGATAGCGTGATAGCGAATGAGGATAGTAAGTGAAATATATTTTGCAAAGGTCAGCTTGTAAACTACTGGGTAACCCTAAATGATGAGAAATATGTACAAAATATGTTTTGCATGATTTATTCATATCCCGATGATTTAACTCCTTCACTGCATCTAATAAGGTATATAGATACTAATTACGGGACATTTAGGAATTAAGTGACTAGACCAAAGCAAGCATGTTTGAGATTTTAATGATTTTAAATAAATTACCACTTCATTATTTGCTTTTAGACATTCAATCAGTTTTATTTGTCCAACAAACCATATTCACAATTGTTCAATCCAACGAAGATTAGGGGATAAGCTAAGAGACCCCTCCATTTGTCCGTCCATCCATCCTTCAACTAGACAACAGCAACACCAAAGTGTAGCAAATCCCATCGAACAGCCATGGCTGGCATTTTTTTTACAAACAAAGTATACAGCAAAAATGGCAGCCATTTTTCAAAATGGCCACCTTCTACCAAAAGTGTCATTAGACAGTGTGCCACGCTTATAGTATTCACGCATCAAATATGAACAAAATCGCTCTACTACTTTTCGAGTTATAGTAAAATACGTTAAAATGACGGCCATTTTTCAAAATGGCTGCCTTCTACCAAAAGTGTCATTAGACAGTGTGCCATGCTTATAGTATTCATATACCAAATATAAACAAAATCGCTCGACTACTTTTCGAGTTACAGCAAAAATCGTAAAATAACGAGTAAAGGCCGCCATAGTTCAATTCTTTGAAGCAAATGATTCTAAAAGTACAACATATCTTTGAAAAAATATCATTCTGTTAAGTGAAATTGTAAAAAATATTTTGCAATGTGTGAAATTGAATTAAAGCACATGATTCAATGAATAGTGGATGCTTCAATTCACTTATGTCTTCTAGTCTAGGCTTTGAATTTGGACTACCACCCTCGTTCATAGTCTAGAATCAGGACATATGTTAAATTTAATCATCTACAATGCATTGAGTCATTGGCTTAAATCCTATAATATAATATGCCTATCAATATAATATGTAATTATTTAAGTATCATCTCAATGCTTTAATTTTAATAGAATTATTTTAATATTTTACTAACTGTATAATATGTAGTTTGCATTACTGTTGATAAATAAATAAATGATTGCACTGTTCAGTAAAGAAATATAGCAATTGTATTATTTAAACTGACTATACACTATAGAAATGATTTTCATTGAAAAATCAAATCAGTACCAAAATTATGGTTACCCTGTAGTAGTGAAAGGCACATTAGAAATGAATATCACCCCCTTCAATCTATTTTTACAGGTTTTTATGATTATTTCAGATTTTTCTATAGTTTGCGTAACCAGGACGGTGAATTTTCTTCATTTTTCATCAAACATTTCGTCTTACCAATATTTATTATATCTGTCAATTTTATCAAAATCGCGCCGCTACATTTGAAAATAATTCAAATTATGTAGTTTTTCCCATTGAGCTCCATTATAAAAATGGAATTTTCAAACTTAATATTTTAAAATTCTACGTGGTGAAAAGTTGCATATTGAGTAGTTAGTTAATGTTATGGTGTTAAAAATTCAAAACAAAAAGGAATAAAGAAAAAATGCCACAGAGCAGTCTCAATAGAGTATCTTTAAACCTTTCCCAGACCTATATATTTTGAAATTATCCTTTTAATACTGAGTCCCCAGCATTCATAAAAAATGGTGTTCAAGGTACACTATCTATACAAATTATTTTTGCATCTTGGAAGTGCGGAGCAGCTCCATAAACGTAGCTCCGCACCCAATATTTAGAGGGGGCTCATATCTGAAGAACATTTCCGAATTTTTATAAAATCACACAGATACTGCCTGGCTTCCAAGATGCAAAAATAATTTGCATGGGTAGTGTATCTTGAACACCATTTTTTATGAATGCTGGGGACGCAGTATTAAAAGGATAGTCTCAAAATATATAGGTCTGGGAAATGTTTAAGGCATACTGCGTCGCTATTAAATGAATTGCACTACTATTTTCAAAATTTTATTGGTATTTGGTGTCAAATACACATATCTTGGTATATTTGAAGTCCCAAAACGGCTTAGTTTCAGAAATATCCCAATTTTAAATTCAAAAATGACCGTTAGCTCCGCACCCTCCGCTCATTTGCGCCGCACCCAATATTTCCCACAGGCTCTGTCTGCATAGGGTGTATACGTAGATGATAAACGTATACAGTTGGATCTCCGTATAAAGCTTTACCTACATGTGTGTGGAACAATAACCCAGATGCGAGTAGAAATAATCTTGATTTACGTCATTAAAAATTCAAAATTCAGTCAAACTAATATCATATTTGAAATCTACATGTAAAATTACATCTAGAAATGTGGTTTGAAAATGTGACTTCTAGCTCGGGGAGATTCCCCATAGACCCCATGCTATAAAATCACAAAAAATGAAATATCTTTTCTTTTAGTAGACAGATAATATTTTGCTTTACTGGACATATTTTCATTAGTATAAGTATGAGACGCATAAGGGTTATATGAAAATTGAGCCACTTAAATTAATAATATTCAAGTTTAAGGGAACTTTCTCATATACCTGCCATGTTAATTTACCCGAATCAGCCACCTGGTGATGAAACTGGTAACTACCTACTCGCATTTGGGTAATTGACCGCAAGCATTTTTTAAGATTAATTGGCTAAGTAGGAACAGTATCCAATCAAATACTTTAACCATCAATTTGAAACACCAATCAAACCAGTAGGCTCTAGCAATTCCTGGAAACGACCCATTCAGTATCTCAACAAATGATATACAGGGTGTTTCATAACGAGCATCTCCAAAAAGTCAATTTGAGAAAAGATGGGTCTATAACATATGTACTATATGAGCCTATTTTATTATAGACAAACACATTTGGATCAACTAAACATCTACAATTCAAGAAAGTACAAATGGCATCCCTTTGACCTTTATTTATTACAGTCCGAGAAGATCTTTCCTGACGAAAAGCCCGGCATTATGAAACACCAAGTACGTTTACTTATAAGTATACGTTATAAGTTGTACTTTCACGTATGTGCGAAATCTCTCTAATGTGTGATTTCTTGGACGCTATTCAGACGACCAATTTCACTATGGTAAAATAATATTCCAGATTGCATTTTAATCGTTAATTGTAGTATTTTAATACGGTGAACTTTTAACCTAGAAAGAGAATTTTATAGGAAACGGTACAACATGTATGATGTTTGTCGTTGTCTTAGGAAAAACAAAATATATCTGAAAATTGAGGGAAAGTAATTTCAAACTGTTTTATTATCACTTTTCAACACGCATTTGCGTATCTGCATACATTGTTCCGACGCCCCTGACATGATATGTATTTGGATTAGACACAACTGCATCGTACGAAGGTGGAAGGTCTTCCACTCCAGATGCATTAAGGTCTAGAATAGGAGGGGCCATCCTATCTCCAGTGTTATTAACGGGTATCGGCATTTCATTAGCATCGGAAGAAGTACCATTGTCATGTATGCTCTCGGTATCCGTTAGTGAGCTAGTGTTCTGAGTAATCGACTGTGTTTGGTTCTGTTCAGTACTTTGGTCTAGTGTGGGTGAATCATTTTGGGCTTTGCTTATTGGCTCTGTACCATTGGTTTCTATCGTAGCTTGGTGAACATCAACAATATGAGCGGAGGGAGGATGGTGGTTGTATGCAACAGCAGCTGTTCGATACGATGAGGATCTAGCGGGCATATCCCTTTCATCGGAGGTAGTGGAATCAAAATCACTATTGTCATTTGTGGTTTCATTATCGACGGGGAGGTCAGTTTTAATTGGACAACCTGAAATTGAGAAAGTTGAGATACGATTTTAGTAGGCTTCTCATTCTAATCTGATTAATTAGTTCCTCACCCTATCATCATATCTCTGTTTTTGAACAAGACTGACTATTTCACGTTCTTGAAAGGAACTCACATTCTCACAGGAGCTACGGATTGCACTGGACGAAAGGCTCGGAGATTGAGGAACTCGGAATTAATAAAAGGCCATGATTTCTCATGATGAAGATACACGGTCATTTAAAATTTACTACTTGAAAATAACTACAATAGTAATATTTAATCTGAAAATACAAGGCATATAGCATAAATTATTTAAACCTGGGAATGATTTGTTCCAAGCAGTTCGAAATTCCCGCCTCATCCTTGGGTCGAACTTGTATCTACATACTGTGTAAACGATTAAAGCAACAACCAATAAGAGTGCAGCCAGCGCCGCATATTCACTTTTTATTGAAGGTCTTGTGCTTCCACTTGAGTCTTGGTTGTTGTTGTTATTTTTATGGCTTGATTGTGTATTGGAATCCTCGTAATCTCTGTTCTGCTGCTTTATTGCTGAAATAATAAAATACATATCATTGGGATATTATGGATTTGAAAAATATCATCTATATCCATGTATGGATACAAATGATATTTTTCCACACAGGATTGTTCGTTTATCCATGGGCATTCAATAGATATTGAAAGTCCATGGTTTATCCCATGGGAAATTATTACTCAGCGAAAATTGACGCACTGAAAAAATATTGACAGATAAAAAATGAAAACCTTCGAATATTACTTTTGAAACCATCGAACATGATTTTTAAGAGGTGATATTCGATGGTTTAGGGATATTCTACTAAAATGTGATATATTGATCCATCCAAATATCAAATATATCTTCACTTGACATCCTCGAATCATGGGATAAATCAGTGTGTAACTAAAATTTCATTATGTAGTACCTTTGGGTCTTTGGAAATCGACTTGATCCCATATTTTACCTGGATATCTGCATTTCTCTTCATCTTCCCAATATTGACAATCATTCCAGCCATCACAAACTTCTGATGTCTTTACGCACTGGTGAGAACGTTCACAGTAGAAGTCATACCGCTTAAAGTTGCACATACTTCCAGCTGAATGAGGATAAAGCCATTTAATCTTGCTTGTTTTTATCACATAGAAAGGCATGATAGTGGTATATCATATACTAATCGATCAAAATTTGATAAATCATCAGATAATATGCATATTTTACAAGAAATGAATCTGAAGGTATGTATAGTGAAGTATGATTCTATAATATACTAAAAGTAAATACAATTCAATATTGGCACTGACTTTTGAAAAACAGATAAGCTCTTTTTGTTAGAATTTAACCACAGCACCCCAGTATGGCTAGTTCCATAATTATGAGTAACGATGTACGTAATAACTACATACGGCACAATCCTTTTCCTCGAACGCATGTTACTCCATCAGGGCATAGCTTGTCCTTCAATGGGTCGTCTACAGGTGGACATTTCTTATATGCTGAGTTAAGGAGCCCTCTTCCCGTCTGATAATTGTAGCCCTCATCGGCCTGAGTTGGATTTGCTGCTGTTAACAAAATGAATATTAGATATCCAGTATCTACATAAAAATAAATGTATGCCATGTTAATGTTATTTGGCAGTAACCGAATTCTGTTCATATTATCTATCATACAATTTGGCACGTTAATGATTTTGGTTTAGGCCAAGAGTAGCCTATTTCTTGCTCGCACAAGTTATGTTTTTGTTGGGGATCGTCTGCTATCGGTTTGACTACTGTAGCATTATCACTGGATAAACAAATCGTATTTATAGATCGTTGAATGTCATGTTCACTCTATAGTAGTATCCCTGTAGTATAGGTAGGCTACATCTTAGTTAATGATTCGTTTTTCTGAGAGAAATTATCCATCAGAATTTAATGAATAACTGCCCATGGGGTATTAGGCAGTCATTCATTATCTGACACTACTGGAACTAAATTCCGTGCAACATTGTAGGATGAAGAATCTTTTTTATCGCTCAGTGGCTAGTTTACGTCATGCATCGATGTGGCAGCTGGTCCATGGTTTATGGCTTAGTATCTGGCAAGGTATGTCTGTCTGGGATGACAACCTCCACATTTTATAACGTTTTCCTTGCTAAGCCCCAGGTTGCACCCTTACTGCTTGAATATTTCTGTAACATGTACTTCCTCGGAAAATGGATACTTCAAAATAGTTAGCTCGATACCACTACAAGACTGTGGCTCTGTTCTTATTGCCTCTTGAAAAACTAAGCCGACAGCTCGATCGATAGCAGGCCTACACTTCTTCTTTCTAGTTTCATTTCAATTCCACACAAACAAATATATGGTGAAGTATTTACACTCTAATATACCTTGCTTTAGGTGTGAGCAACCCTTTTTTATAAGTAATGATTATGTTATTCGTTTTTTTGTCAGTTCCTTTTAATGCGGGTTTATCGGATGACGTTAGATGTTAATAAGGTACTTTCAAAAATATACTGAACAATACAATATTGGACAAACAGAGTACCTTATGCATTTCTAGGGGTTAGATATAGTAGAGTGATTTACGTACGAACAACACAAAAAGAGTAAAGCAATCAAGTGCGCCAGATTATTTTTTCTGGTTCTTTTTCACGCATGCGCAAGTATAAATTTATTTCCCATCATCATTTTCTACCCGAGTTTTCTAAAGTAGATTCGATTTGTACATGTACGGGGTGGTCAAAAACTGAAACTCATCCGCTATTTTCCCCAGGTCTTTGTCATTTTAAAGATCTACTCCCTGATATTAGGTGAATTTGTACACCATTCCAACCAGCCTTCTATATTTCATGACAATCAACTTCAGACAGTCAAAATGTTAGAGCACTTCATAACAGCATTGGCAAACCCGCACAAGCTGTCAATGACACCGGACTGCATTCTTCGGCAGGTATGCCCTGGTACACTAAGAACGTAGGCGCACTCTCAAATTCTAAAGAAAATTTCCCAGGGGTCGATCAAGTGTGATAATAAATATCTCACAAAAACAGAAATCGAGATGAAGATTAATGTTGAATAAAAAAGTTCTCAATAATTTCTTCTTTTTGGGTGAGTTTACATTTTACCAATAGTTGAATTCTTCGAAAAGCAGAAAGATAAAATCATCAATCAATCAATCCCGTCAGGTCAAAAACAATCACAAAGACATATACTGTATTTTACTTAATTTCGCAACTTATAGGATTAAATGAACAGTTTACCAAGTCCATGATTACTTTTTGACCTATAATAATATTGATATAAAACACAGTGATCACATTAAATAGTTATTGCAATTGGAAGCACAAGTATTGTAATGACCTTAATAGGGGTATTGAGATGGTACTGAAAATATATAGCTGAGAAAAAAGAACAAAGGACAGAGGGTATTTACAAGGATAACAATCGGATAAAATCAACACGGTTAACAACATCAAATATTTATTTACAACATTACAATACATGCCTACAGTAATATAAAACAAGCCACAAACAATAACAGATAAAATGGAAATGCCATAACGAGATCCAACCCCGGAGGGCCAGAGGGCCATGCCTAGACTATATCCTATTTTGGTAATTCTAAATATTTTTGTTTACATAGGAAGTGCTATTCAAAATGGCCGACTGGGTAAAATTAATTTGCACCTTTGTTACTTCAACTAGCTTTATTTCCACTTGACAATATGCTGTGTTACTTTTTATTGCATTTAATTGTACCTTACTACTTCATTGAAATTTTGTAATGTTTATTTTATTGAAGAAATGGTTCCTCTAATTGATAATTTTGTGCAAAAAATTTCACTGCAATTTCCACAGGAAAGTAGTACATCATAACAGACTGACTTCTAGTCAGTCTGTTGGATACATACCAGGGCCATGCCACGCCTTAACTTCCGTTATCGTTATACATCTAATATTATCAAGTATTTGATCTCAAACTACTACTAGTGATAAAGACAAAGGCTTACCTCGTTGTACTATACCTAATGACATTAGGCTAATGTACTTCCGTATATCAACTCTAGTATCAGATATCCAAGACTCAACAAAGCGTGGTCCAAAATCCAAACATCCAACAAGAAGCCACAATCACACAGTCACACAGTATCCTTCCCCTCTGGTCAACTGACGAACTCAACTTAAAATTGTATCAGTTTTTAGCGACAGATATCAATCTAAATTCCATACCTTGTTGCAATAATAGGTTTCTACAATGCTGTTCTATTTACTCGACGTTAGCATTGTTTGGAAGTTAGAAACATGAAAAGCCTTATCAAGCAACCGTTACACAACTCCCCTCCTTCTGAAAGGTTTTTAGGTCCTCGCCAAAAATCTAGATCATAATATATGTCTGTCTAGGGGGGCATACTTTAGGGACACCCTGTATTAGATGGCGATAACGATACCAAAGAAAGACCCACTTGTGGTCTTCCAGAAGCTGAATATGCATTAAAAGGTGACGCCACGTCAGAATAATTATGCTCGGGTCTCAATGACTTCTCAATAGCCTGCGAAGAGAATACGATCTCATCTTCATCGTTGATCAGCTGGATCAGATTTGGACTCTCTCTGTCCGGGTATGATAACATGACACGATAGGGGTTGCGTACCACTGGACTTACGCCGTAGCTTTCCCATTCCTCCTTTATCTGCGTCGCTTGCCTCAGATCTACCGGCGTTCCAGCAAGATCAGGTTCTGCTGTGAGGTTTCTAAAAATAAACATAGTCGTCAAACCAAGGATATCACTTTTCATAAAATCATGATATCATCTATTTGTATTTGTATATTTATTTACCTCTAATCACGAGAGAGTTATTTTCACCCCCATTATATGTGATTACATTGACAGGTCATTTCCTGGACACTGGGGCCACCAAGTTCTAAGTAAATAAACTAAGGCACACCAGAAAAATGTCTAGTTGTTGCATAATGAACTTAATGCTGTTAGCGCTTATCTTCTTGATCAGCCGTTGTGTTATCCCTTCATCTCCATCTTTGATAATTTTATCTGATACGCCATCAAGGAACGTTCCACCTTTGGTTGTTGGATTTGGAACTGAGACAAATCCGATGATGACACCAACTACAATGACAATCGCCACCACTATGGTAACACCAACGACCACAACTCTTTGATTTGCCATCCTCGGTTAGTGCTCTGGGAATCGTAATTGAAGAAATCCGTCCTCCAACTGGATGATATAGGTAAATGTCTTATCTCAAAATGTGTTGTGTTCCAGACGCTTTTACAAACGATATATTTGAATTTTGACAAGTCCAAGTATTCCAGATTCTCGCCTACATTGTTTTAATCACATTCACAAGTATCATCCATTGGCTTGTGATTTATAATTGATGTGTAAATTCAAATGCATAAATTCAAAGACAGTAAACATTATTCTAATACTGTAAGTGACCTTAAAGAATGTGTAATCTGAGGTAACATGCATGTGTTTTACTATCACTTTAGTTCACTCCAGTTTTTTCAAAATATGGCAAGGGCTTCATTGTGTAGAATCAAAGATATCTCGATGTCAAGCACGATAACAAAGGGGTCAGACTCTGTGTTTGCATCGTGGTAAGCCACGCCCTCTCCACCTATATCCTCGCGGAGATCGAAACTAAGTCCACATAAGACCAAGGCCTATCCAAAAGGATAGAGTTGAGAGGGCGTGGCGTACCGCGATGCAACAGAGAGAGATGCTATGAGTGTCCGAATGCTGTGTTTTTGGGACATCATTCTAGTTGATTGAAACACAGCCAACGTCTATGACTCCAGGTTCTTGAAGCTTCAACCACTCTCAGTAGTTCCTTTTCACGAACGAAAGGGACTCACCAGAAGCTATGGGTTGGTCTTTATGCAGCATTGTTGGAAACGCACAATTCGTATATGCATCGATATTTACCTTTCAGTAAACAATCATGTGAATGATGATTTTGATTGTTTGTTACGAACTGGTATGTTGACAACCAAGAAAGTTTGGATGATACCTGGGAATAGACCAGTGACATCTGGATCTACAGAAGACAGTTGGAAAGACAATAGCCGGGGCAAACAGCCCAAGAAGCACCCACATAGCAAGCTACGACACAACCCATAGGAAAACACCCTCAGGATTGCCCGAGAGGGAGGGAGGATGAGCAATCCACACAATCAGATGGAATTCAGGACACTGACTTGGCACGGCCAAGGACAAGAATATTGAATAGAGGAAGAATATGCAGTTGTGGCAAAGAGTAAGAATGACAGGGGACTTAAGATTCATCAAGGCAAGTCGCGTTGCCAGTCTCAGTCAGAAGTGAAACAGCGCTCAGGGTCATCTGATCCTGGTAAGACGATGGAGGGGCCAGGCCAGGACAAAAACCACAGTGCCAGGAAGCTCAAAGTTCCAAAGACGAATGAGACTAAAGAAGAGAGACTCCAGAGTATCAAATGGTCCAATGCCACAAAGAAAGAGGAGTGGAGTAATCTGGATAATGACTTGGATACAATTCAGGAGTCATCTCTAAGTGGACCAATTGAAAAGAAGATACAAGCCATGACAACCATCACATACTCATCAGACAGATTTGGAGAGGAAGAAAAATGCCATTTAAAACCACATATTGTCCATATTGGTAGAAGACAGAAAGATATTAAAGACCTAGGAAAGGAACTAAAGGATCTAAAGAAACGTGACAAACAGGCAGGACCAATAGAGAGGAATGCACTAAGGGAACTGAGAGTTATAGTCAGGAGTAAACTTAAAACACTAAGATAAGCGGAATATCACAGAAGCAGAAGAGAGCGCACTAGGAAAAGAGCCTCTTTCACAAAGGATCCTTTTAGCTTTGTAAAGGAAATATTAGGCCAGAAGAAGAATGGCACCCTCAGAAGTTCCAAGGAAGAAGTGGAAAATCATTTAACCTTAGCAGTACTTTGGTTCGACCATAGCCCATGGTTCGACCTAGCAAATGTTTTAGGATCTATCCCCCATAAGCTTGTAGAATTCACTATGATGAGTTACTACATCTCACTAAAGATCCAGATGATGATCTTAGACTATTACAGCAACTTCAAGATGAGATTTTCGACAAAAGAGTTTACTACAGATTGAATTAGGTTTGAGGTAGGAATAGTGACCGGATGCACACTTTCTGTCGAGCTTTCGCAGGACAATCACTCTGGAGAACATTAGGGATTTTAGGGATAAATGGCAATTCAAGAAAGAGAGCAATTGGAAGTATCACAAGATCAGCAGAGAAAGCATCAAAATGGATCTGGATCTAACAAGCAGATAACTGGAAAACAAAATAAGAGTACACTAATAAGAAATATCAAAGACCAGAGATACTCCAAATAATTTTGAAATAGCAATATAATAACATTATAAGGCAATCAACTGAAGCAATCAAAAAGCACTTTAATTAGAAGTAATCACAATTATTAATTACATTTGAAATTACAGTAATGATACCATAGCTCGAATTCAATGTTGGGTAGTACACGTGCAATAACATGTCGATGGATCTCATTTGATACAAGCTGCTTGTAACTTGTTTCTGGTGTATATGGAAGAGAACGGGTAGCTCAACCTGAACCAAGTTTTAATAAGCATATTATGGTAGGTGTTCTTAAAATGATCTCATACTAAATCCGAAAATTATAAATAAAGGTTATGTACTGGGAGGTTTTGGATATGGGGTTTATCTTGAGGGATATCTACCGGAGGGACCGTACATATCTAACGAGGGATAAACCTCGTATCCAAACTGACCGTACATAACTGCTTTATCCTATACCCAGTGGAGTTTTCTAAAAAATCTTTTTTTCAACAGTTTTTCACATTTTTCAAATTTTACTTTTCAATTTTTTCTAAAATATTTTTCAACTTTTTTTTAAAGCGGAAAGATATGCCCTGGAGCGGGAGATATGGAGGTTCTGGATATGGAAACCTCAAAATCCGGATACGGGATATATCTTACATTCTCATCTTCCTCGATCCTAAAACTCTTCTTGGCATTGGATAAAGAATCATTACGACCTGCACATGCATATTGCAACATCAATATTGTATTGGACCTTTTGTTCATCCTCAATGAAAACCACTTTTAATAAAAAATATATCAAAGCTTTAAATTAATTATATGAGTGATATCATGAATATCAACACACATAACCCACAAGATCATCACGCAGTTCATTGATTTTGAAACATCTTACTTAGAAAGTTATTATCAAGATTGCACATTTCAATAACACTTACTTTGAATATTTTCTCTTTTCATAGTTAACGTTACAGTAATAGCCTCTTTTTTAAATCTAATATGATATGTTTTAATTGTAAAGTTTTAAATGAGTACATGAAATGCCGGAAGGTCATTTGCCCCAACCCTGTACATTCGCCTATTGATTAAAAAAGTAATACCCTCAAACCTAGGTAGAAAAAAGTAATGTAATGTGTTGCCTATTCCAGACCCCTCCGTCGTCTTCAATCACCAACATGAAGCGAATTTTTGCAGGATTGGGCCTTTGTATGACAGTTTGGGTTACAGGCATGCAGTTGATTCTTACTGACTCAGCAAAAATAGGTAAGGTATGATTGAACCCTGAAGCCACAACAAAGGAGGTGGATGAATCTCTCTTTTAAAGGATTTGGAAGCGAAATCAAACTATCGAATATGATAGTTTCAAAGCTTAATTATAGATTATTTTCAGACAAGTTTTGTTTACTAAAAAGCTTACCCCGGCGTCTTTTATTTTCATCATGAAACAAATAAATACTATTGTTCTTGGTAGTTAGATCTCTCTGTAATTGTACAAAGGAAAATTTGGTTGATTGAAAAAAGTATCTTCTTTTGTAAAACCGCAATCGTGATTACACCTAATTCTTAAACCTGGTTAAAACCGAAGAAGCTTTTGTAAAACGCCATGTGTAATTCCAGCAAATGAAATAAAAGATTCAATTTAATTTTTTATCTATTTTTGGGGTTTTTAAAATCAACCAAATTTTTCTTTGTATAACTTTAATATTGAGAGGTCTAAAACATGTTGTATATGCTATTTTGTTCCAAAAATGTTCGAAAAGATATTTCATTTCATTCTCAAGAATTGGTAGAAAGGAAAAAAACATTGGCGCTAAAAATAAAAAGAAGTTAACAAAAACAGTTAACTAAAACAAAAAATATATCTAAATAATGTTCGCATTAAATTGATGTCAATCAGTGACCCTTACATAAAGGATCGTGTTTTTTACAGAATGTTTTCAAAAGTTGGTTTTAAGAGAAAAACAATGTTGAATTCAGTTCGCCATATCGATACCAATCCTTTCATGAAAATTGCCAAAATCATCCTTTCAAAAACGACAAAAACAGGCTTCATCGTGTAGTTCGAAAGGGACTTAATTCTATTGACTTTTTTTTTGGGGGGGGATACCTTGTATTGATAAAAATTTCAAAATAGTTTATTGGCTAGTCTCTAAAATATCAATAAGCTGGTTTAATTTTGAATTGTTACTATCATTAATGTATTTTAAGATCGGGGCGAAATTCGGGATATCGATACCAAATTGCAAATAAATAGAACGCCTGAACCGACAACAACACCTAGACCCAGAACAGTACCAACAACAGGACTTCAACGCACAACAGGACCGATAAGACAACGCGAACCCAAAACAGTAATTGAGAGAGGACATGAACCAATCAAAGTGCCTACACTGGCACAAGAGCCTACTTCAGAAAGGGTGTTAGTTATCTACGCTTACGCAGAAATAGATGATTGGCGACATAGTATTAGAAAAAGCAATTTGCAATTTTTCGTTGATTTTGCAATAGGAGGAAAACACCATAATAAAAGTGATGTTGATTACGTCATTGTCGTAAATGGATACACATGTACTGTTGATATTCCCGAACAAGATAATACATTTGTGATAGCCAGGAGAAACTATGGCTACGATGCGTGTGCATGGAAGGCAGCGCTAGATTATATGAGAAAGAGAAAGGGTCCAGCTTGGTACAAATATTTCGTCTTTCTCAATTCATCGGTGAAAGGACCATTTATACCTGCCTATGCTAATGACAAACATTGGACAACATATTTCACAAAATACCTAAATAATTACGTTAAACTTGTGGGTACAAGTATTTGCTGTTCCAAGGTATACCCGGTACATATCCAAACCATGTTCCTTGTAACTAGCTTTTCAGGCTTAGCATTGATAGAAGATATGCTAAAATGCCACGAACACAAGCAAACCGTGATTGTAAACATAGAAATAGGAGTTTCACAATTTCTTTTAAAAAATGGCTTCAATATTGCCTCAGTTATGAAACAATGGGAAGATCACGATTTTCGCGACAAAGACAGAACTGAAGAAATGTGTCGTACACATAACAAGGACATGGATGGAGACCAATATTACCAAAATGCTTATTATGATGGTATAGACATTTCTCCATTTGAAGTGATATTTTTCAAAAATAATAGGGGTGTAAATCAGAAAGTCCATGATGTCTATTCTAGCATGATACGGGAATGGGGAGAGAAATATTCTCCCAATAAACCAACAGGATACATAGGAAAATATTCCAAGAATTACATTCTTTTGTAATTTATGTTACTTGAGAAAACCATGATTTAACATGGAAAACTCAGTGAATTTTAGAATTCCAGGAAATGCGTAAAAATGGCGAGGGAAATTCTGAGAGAGAGCAGGAAAATGAGAAAAATGAGTTAGCGAAATTTTGAAAAGTTGATATAACTGAAAGGACATGAAGGACACATGAAATGTATTGTAGCGAATGGTTGAGTACTGTATTTATGTTTATATAAAACTGCTTTAAATTGTATTGTATAGTATAGTATTGTATATATTGTATTGTATTGCAATGCATTATGTTGAATTGTAATACATATTCGTATTGTTGTTATACGAGTATAACATGTATAACGTAAATTGTTTTGTAATGTATTGAAATAACTTTATTTAATTGAATAAAATGGAATATACAATAACCTAATATTCAGCAATTTAACCGACTTTGACTTCAGTAGGTGCTGAAGCTAAAATGCAAATGTCTATTCTATTCTATGCAAATGTCTATTCTTCATCTTAAATTAAACCCATATTATTAGGATGATTTAACAACGAATGTCTTGTTTCCAGACAGTGAATGAGTGCAGCAGCACGAACTACGCCATGAGCGTTTCCATTGAGCCATGTGCTTGAATTATTTTCACACACTACAAAAGCTTTGTCACGTGGCACGGTATCACTAAAATTATGATTCAATTTTGCAGTGAAGCTTTTCACAAAGGTTTTTAAGGTGCCATGATACTTAACAGGAAATGACGAAACAGGAAGTGACAATTTTTTTGCATTTTTAGACATTTTTTGAACAAAGATAACAGAGTTCTGTTTTGACTCCAGTCAATCCAACTCGTTCCACTTACCATTTACAGGTCCAGGATCACAATGTTCATGGTTAGAATGACCCTAAACATGAAGAAAAATACCTTTTCAGCCCTTTCAAAATGTGACTGAAAAATAGCTAAAAGTAGGAGCTAAGGAAGGTCACTGAACAGAATCTTTCAAATTTTGCAGAAAATGTGCCCAATATAATGCTCTAACTGATGCAATTTTTGAAATTTTAGAAAATAATCTGAAACAAAAAAGGCGGTCATAAAAAGGAAAATAGATCGCTTTTCAAATCAGTTTTCTCATTTTTTTTCTTTTTCTATGAATGATATCAAATTTTCAGATTGTATCATTTAGAGCAATATATTGGGCACATTTTGTGAAATATTCAAAAGATTCTGTTCAGTGACCTCTTCTACCTCCTACTTTTAACTATTTTTCAGTGACATTTTCAGAGGGCTGAAAGGGTTATTTCATCATGTTTAGGGTCATTCTGACCATGAACATTGTGATCCTGGAACTGTAAATGGTATTTGGAACTAGTTGAATTGACTGGATATGTTTGATGGCATCAATAGCAGGTTCCAGGTTTGAGGTTGGCTTTGGGGCTGGGGTTATGTTGGGGTGCTGGTTTATTTGCTCCATAACAACAGGTTCACACTCAGTGCAGAACATGCAGTGGAGACTTGGGCTCTGGGACAGATATTTGATGATTGTCTTCTTTAAATTATGACACTTTGGGCAGCACCATTTTTTACATTTTTCCCGTTCTAAATGTGCTTCATTTTCAGGGATTTTACAAAATTTACAACATCCTATCTCCCCCTGTGTGTCTAGCGTCACTGATCTTGATTTTCAGTTCGGCGATTTTCCTTTTCCTTCCCGTGGATGCGAAATATGGCTTTTTTCGGCTAATTCCATTGCTGCACTTGATAGGTGTGATTTTTCGTCTTTTTTATAACTTTTTGTCTTATCTGAAGTGATTGTACTTTTTTAGCGGGAAGATCTGAACGTGATGATCGGATCGTGAGTTCTTTTTCAGTGATTTCCGGCTCTGTAGGCATGTTTTTCTTTGTTAGCTGCTTTCATCATTCATGCAGATTTTCTGCTGTTTGGAAGTGCTTAAACTCAGTCCAGAGGCACTGGCGGATCTGTGGGGGGATACTCCCCTCTTGGGTGGGCCCAGATAAAAACAATTGGGCCCAAAAAGATTTTGGACCAAAAAAGGCTTAAGGTCCCAAAAAGTGGGCCTTTTTTATCATTACTAAGCCTTTTAAGGCCTTATTTTTTAATTTCAGGCTAGATTTTGGGGAAAATGGGCCTCAAAATTTCAATATTTGGGCCCATTTTTGGCTTTTAGGGACCCAACATTTTTTTCTCTGACCTGAAATTTGCCCCCTCCCCTTGTTGGTTCCCAGATCCGCCCCTGAGAGGGGAGCAACAACGATAAAATTGCATGCTTTTTCATGTTGGGTTACTAATTGCCCCATGGCATAAGAAGTAGATTCTTTGTTTTGCGTCCCCTTGCTTGCACAATTTTGAGCAAATCAGGAAAAACAAACACATCATAATAGCAATCACAAAGGTCTGAAAGCTAATACCATTGCATTTCGTTCAATCAGAATCAGACGAAATTGCGGAGAATTTGATGTGCGTCAAAATTGACAGTGTTATTGATTACTTTGGCATACATTGTGTATTTTCTTATTTTTTAGCCTTGAATAATAGCTAAATATATTGTATAACATAGGCCAAGGGTAAAGTAATAGTAAGCTGTATATAGCAGCTTACTATTACTTTTCCCTTGGCCTATGTTGTATAAAATGTATAGATATGTATTTGTAATCACTGCAAATTGGTAAGTCATCCCTTTTATGCCAATTAAAGGGGCAATAAGGACTGTAGAGAAAATAGGAAAGTTTTTTCATTTTTTCTGAGCTATCAAGGCAACATTTGGTTTAACATCTTCTTTGAAATACCTATTTTCTTAAAATGTATGGATAAATTATCAATTTCAGCATTAAGAAGTGTAAATTCAGTTTAAAGCTTCAAAAAGGGGACTTCCACTTTTTATATTTGTAAGATCCACCATGTTTCAAGAGGAATATCAGCTAGAATAATGTTTATCTAGGGGGTTTCTTTGTAGATAATAAAAATAGATGTTAGTCTTCAATGTGATGAAATATCCAAACTTAAATATATTTTGACACTGGTCCATGATCTGCACTAATTATTGCACCTACATTTCTCAGCAAACAAGTTTGTGTTTTTTCTTTAGTTTGTGTTTGTTTTCCTTGTACCCTTGCCCCGACCCTTGCATGATATGGATTTTGCCAGGACGCAAAACAAAGAATCTACTTCTTGGCCTTATTTGTAATAATAGTGATTTCGTTTCAGGAAAGTTTTGGATATTTAACCGGAAGTGACAAAATGGCGATCAGTGGTAAGAACATTCTGGTTTTCTTTAAACCGTTGTTTTCTACGTGAATATGACATGATAATGGATTAATTCTAACACTAGCAGTAAAAAGATGTTGAAAAATAGTGGCCTCTTATTTATTTGTTCTAACATCATACTTCAATCTTCTTAGAGGCTCATATCACTAAAGTGGGGGGCATAAAGAATTACAAAACCTATGGAAATTACATGTTGTCGCATATGTAATAAATTCTTACCTCAGTGTATTCAGTGCTCTATTTTCTCCATCATAGTAAGTCCAGATATAGTGGAATTTGTGTCCATAATGACAAATAAGAACTTAAAAATTTGATGTGGAATTCACATGTTAATGCCGACTCTTCAAATGTTGAGGTGATTTTGGGGCCAGATTACGGCGCAATGTGGGTTGGCTCCCAGAATGCAACATGACACGTGTCAGCTTTCAAAATGCCATTCCGCCGTTTTGAAATACGTCACGAATAAATAAGGTTACTTGATGTTGCATTCTGGGAGTCAATCCTCCTTGGATCACAAACATGGCGATTCATGAAAACATTAGTCCGATTTGGTAGGGATTTATCCATCATTTGCAGGTATGAGGCTTTGGATTCATTTATTGTGCTACTTAAAGTGGATGGGAATTATTTTTCTACCACTTGGGAGAGTTTGAGACATGAAACTTAGAATTTAGCTCATTGTGACAACTTTTGAGGGTTGAGATTTATTTTTGTCCCCCACTTTAGTCTATTTTTTTTTGAAAACTTGGTAAGGCCAGGCGAACTCCCGTGCATGGGAGTTCGAAGGCCAGGGTGCATGTTCGGAATTTTTCTGCATTCCTCACACTCAGAAGAAGTGAGTAGCTCCCACAGTTCTTTCATATGCTATCGTATTCTGGGATTCCCCATTACATCATCTCCCGCATCATCTTCAATCAGATTGCAGGATGTGATCAACAATCATGGGCACGTGCTCTCTCAGTGCTGCGTAAAGTAACATTTGAAATCGTGGGAATGGCGTTTGTTTCATTTAAACATCATTTCAACATCATCATTTCAAAACTACGGTAATACTATTGAAGCTACTGGATCCAAACTTGTAGAGAATACTCATAAAACAACAGCGAACATTGTGAGATCCATTTCAACAAATAAGGCCTGTTTATATTGTTTACATCTTCCAGTTTTGCACAAAGAGTGCACTTAGAGTAAGATTTAAATGTTTGGAACTACTTGTTTTTGGCTCACACAGTGAGCCTATGGGATCCACCAGGCGTCCGTCCATTGGTCCGTCCGTCAACATTGGCCGCACAAATTAAAACTGCTGTTCGGATTGAGTCATATCCACATTCATTTTATGCATATCCATAATGTCTATTTGACCTATCATCGCCATTTCCCAAGTTTGCCCAGTTTCAGAGAAATTGCTGATTTTGACGTCAAAAAGTTAAATTTTCTATTTATACTAGACACTTTGTTGAAGTAGGACTTTCAAATAACTTGTAGTAGCTGCTGTATATGCAACTTAAGTCCTCTGAAGATTTCAAAGATCTTGGAATTACAGTTTTTGGTGTTTACTCTATAAAATTTGACAAAAAGTAGGACATCATTTTCAGGAAACTTTCTCATGTATAAAGTCAATGGCAGGTTTTGTGATTGACAAGTTTCTCAAAGTTTGCCTTATGCAGCTTATGCTTGATCATTTCTTGCAATAAATTACATCATTATTAGATTTAAGCATTGCCTACATATTGCTTAATATATGTCAGCATCAAATTTTTACCGTTTTTTAGATATTTGACGTCAAACAAACGGTAGAAATAAGTTATTTTTCAACTTGCTTCGATTTGACCAAATTTTTTAGAAAATCATCTATAAGTTGCCAGGAGTTCAAATCTGACATTAGTTCTAGGATTTGACCTTCGAAAGGTCAAAGAAGTTGATTTTTCAAATTGATTTTTGGATGTAAATTTTGCTCAGCTTTGGTCAAAATAAGTGTCTCCAAGGTTTCATACCAGCGTATGCATAATGCATTTGTCACGAGTTTGAGCTGAAATTTCGTGTTCAAGTTATGGTTACGGATGTGAGAGGTATGCGGAGCAGTTCCAGAACAACGCTAAAATGTGACAAATTGGTAAAAGACAAGCATTTGAAACAGTATTTTTTTGTTGTATTTTCTATCTATGTTTTGTTTTGTTCATTATTCGCTCATTCCAGATATAAGCGTGATTTTAACAATGATTGAAGTATGGCACCCCTTTATTTGAAAAAGTCCTTTTATATACGTTTCTAGGTTTTATTTGGAATTAGGGTACTATTTCGCAATTAAATGTAGGATGTAGCAAATTGGATAATATACCCGTTTTTTTATTTTTATATGATTCTCTTATCACTCTACACATGAATTAATAATAATATGATCCGGGTAACCAGATTTTTCGCATTTTCGATTTTCAGAAACTTCATTTTGGTTAAAATTTTTCCAAGAAGCTGGTATCCCAGCTGGAGAGGCAGCAAATCATGCAGTCACCTTCACTGATCACAGAATACAGAAGGACATGCTCAGTGACCTCTCCAAAGAATACCTCAATGATATGGGTATCACTATGATGGGTGATGTCATTGCTATTCTCAGACATGCCAAAATTACACATACTCAGGTTAGTCCTTATTCAAAGCTTGAAAGAATTGTACACTGTATAATCTACAATTAACAGAGATTTAAAATGGTCAATGTCGTCTTAATTATGAAATTAAGTGTTTTGTATCAATAAATGTTAATTATCCCACTGAACAAAGTTTGAGGGGGTTATAGGGAAGTAGTTAGTCCGTCCGTCTGTCAGGGCAATAACTCAAATACCGGTTGACTGATTTGATTCAACTGATAGGCTTATGTCTTATGGGTGTAGGGCCTCTGCTTGAGAAGGAATTTTCAATATGGCCTCTCAATTCAAAATGGCCACCATCTTTTGTAAAAAATATAATCTTTGATAACTCAAATACTAGTGGACCGATTTGAATTTTATATGCTGTTGCCTAGGGACAAAGGAGTCTTGTTCAAGAAGAAATTTTCAAGATGGCCACTGAATGGCCACCATTTTTTGTAAAATCCTAAATTTCAAAATGGCTGCCAAAAAATGTAATCTTTGATAACCCAAATACAAGTCAACAGATTTGGTTCAAATCCTATATGCTGATGCCTAGAGACAAAGGAAGTCTGCTCAAGAAGACATTTTTAAGATGGTCACTGAATTTCAAAATGACCGCAATTACTCGTAAAAAAAACGTCATAACAATCATAACTCTAATACCAGTGGATGGATTTGGTTCCAATTTTATATGCTGATGTCCAGTAAAGAAGGAGATCAGCTTCAAAAGAAATTTCTAAGGCGTCAGCTGAATTGCAAAATGGCTGCCATTTTCATAAAAAGGTAATCTTTGATAACTCAAATACCAGTGGATAGATTTTGTTCAAATTTTATATCCTGATGCCTAGAGATAAAGGAGCTCTGTTCCAGAAGAACTTTTCAAGATGGCCGCTTTTTATCTCCACCATTTTTCATTAAAAATGTAATCTTTGATAACTCAAGTACCAGTTGGTGGATTTGGATCAAATTTTATATGCTGGTGCCATGGGACATATGATAGGTGGCAGCTGAATTTCAAAATGGCCACCATATTTCATAAAAACATAATCTTATTTAACTCAAATACCAGTGGATGGATTTGGTTCAAATTTTATATGGCCACTATTCCTCAATACATGTTTTGTTCGGTGGGATTTGCTACTCCGTCGGGTTGCTGCTTTTCTAGTTGTTTTCCTTTCTTGGACACATGGCTTTTACTTTGTATCTGATTTATAAAGAGGCATTAAATTTTCGAATTGTGAATATAATAGGACCTTTAGATAATGATTATGATATGTTATACTGTATCAATACATGAAAGTATTTTTATTGTAATTTGACTTCATATGTACTTTGTGTTTCAGTTACAGAGGGATAAAGCCCTGAAATTGGGTAAATCATCAGGGACCTCAACTCCTCCATTGACTCAGAGGTCAACACGTAAGTCATAGAATCCTTGATTACTTAAGTGATCAGTCAAATTCTCCAGAAAACCTTCTTCAAAATTATTACTCAAGTCTCCATTTTGCCTCTTGACATATCTGTATTGCTGATTTGATGTTATCTGAAATATATGTTATGTTTTATCCTGCATTGTGAATTACTTTTCTAAAAGACCTTTTAACACCAAAATGAAGACAATCCATTGCCAATATTGAATTCATCTCTATGATCTCCACAGACCTGTTTCACTTGGTGGGATGCCCTGCTGAACCCTTAACTCCATCCTGATACCACCCTGTTGAAGCTTTGTGCTGAATTGAGTTGAGAAGAAAAGTTATATTGCTATATTGCAATGTGTGTTCTTTTTCAGCTGCCAGTAGGACAATCAATCGCTACATGAATGTGCAGAATGATCCAATAGCTGGCCCCATGAGTTCACCCATGCCCAATACAGGTCCCAAGATGTCTGCAGAACTAGCATCTAGACTAGGTCCCTCACCATCTACTCCAACAGGTAGATTTCAAATTTAGCTCAGTTTCATTGATGTTTGGCTACCTATTGTTTAGATAGGTGTGAGTTTAAGTAAAACTAGCATTTTTAAATCATAAGGAAACTTTTATGTTTTAAAATAAAATTGTTTAGGTTCCAGTTAGGTAGGTACAGGCACCCTCAATATTATGTTAATAAATCATATCTGACTACATCATTTTGATAATTTGTCAAAATTGGACTGGTTGTCTTCTTTAACTAATTGTTCAAATTAGTCTTTGATTATGCTTCTTGTATGGTCAATATTTGAATGAGTCGAGGCAAGAAAATTAACTATACAGGATTCTGTAAAATGTTTTACTATGTTTACAAATATAAATGATTATGCTTCGTGTATGGTCAATATTTGAATGAGTCGAGGCAAGAAAATTAACTATACAGGATTCTGTAAAATGTTTTACTATGTTTACAAATATAAATTTAGATTCACCTGTCCTGGGTCGTAAAAACAAGACCCCAGCATCCATAAAGCCTATAACAATGCACAGAGCACAACGATTAGAGGTTCCCGTTCCAACGAAAAGGCGAGTTTTTCCAGAACATGAAGGCAGATATAAAATCACCATGCCTGCAGGCACAACAGAGAAAACAAAGAAAATTTTACAAAAGCAAGGAAAATTACCAGGTAATAGCTTAAATCCTAGATCCTTGGTGACTTTATAAATATTTTTCATCATTTATCAGGTAGTGTTAATAAAATCAGTATGATCATTCGCCTAATTGTAACTTCAACCTTTTACACATACGTTTCCATATATTACTGATTAGGGCTAGCAAAGAATGGAATTCAGAGCTTTTGGATGAAATTAGTATGTTGATTATTATTCAATCTCTTATTGACCACTCCTCCTAGAATTCCATTTTCTCGGAGTGTATACATAATTGGCTTTCAGGTGCAGAATCTCCAATTTTGATAAATTACCAGGGAATTGACATATTTTCTGAAAATATGAATTATCAGCCATGATTTTATACATAAGACTGCATTTGGATTTGCTAATAGAAATCACTCACACATGGCCAAAAAAATGTAAAATAAATTTTTTATGTTGTTTTTTCCCTCTCGTTAGATAGCAACATTCATTGATTACTGTATCTATTACATTATCATTTTACACTTGCTTATTCAAAAACATAGTTTTCCCATGGCCAATAATTAAATGAAGAAATATAAACCGAAGAGCAGGTGCTATATCAATGAATACATACTGCAGGGCTAGGGACAAACGTTTTTCAAAAGCATTTGTGCCAAGCCCTAACATATGCATTCGCCGATATAACACCTGCTCTGAGGTCTATATTACAATTCAAACATGAAAACTCACCTAAATTTTTACCTAAAATCTAATATTCATGATTGCCCACCATTACTACGGTCCACCATTATGATGTCATGCATTAATCATATTACCAGGTGCAGTGTCGATGAATACATAACTGTTGAAATTTGACTTTGTTCACAGTTTATAGAAGGCGTGAATACAGTTATGTTCGAATCAGAAATGAAGATATAAATAAAAGTTGAGATTAACTTTTAATTCGACGATCATATTAATTAAGACATTTAGAATAAATATTTTATGATTCCGATCAAATGAGCATGACCTACTTACTGAAAATCATTTGAAATCTTAAAATGGATGGATTTGCCATTAACAAAGTGAATGGACCCAAGGAAATCACATTCAAAAGATGAGTTACTGAATGACATGTACCCTGACAGTGATAGGATGTTTTGTTGTTAAGTAGTTGTATATCATTGCAGGAAATTGATTATCAATGAAGAGACATACAATACAAGGGGTAATTTCGTGTATGATTATAAACACGGGAATATACACGAGTAGTGTCACCCGTTTTTTGTACATTTGTTGTTAAAATATATATGAATAAATAAATAAACATCTATACATCTAGTTTTGATCATCAGATCATTGCAATATTGGGTTAAATGGATCAAGTGATTATGATTCAAAAATGTATTTTATTTCGACATGAACTGGGATAGGTGGGCAGGTAAATTAGCTTGCTTAAAGTGACTTAGAATTGAGATATTTGATATTTCTATATTCTGAAATTGGTTTAACAGACTAATTGTGTCACCACCACTGGTGGTGATATAGTTACAGTCTCCAATTTTTTGTGAATTGTGTTTTGTGGCTGGTGTTCGGAGTTTAGTGTCTGTAACAAATTGCAGGTGGTTACATTTTGAATTTTTTTCGAATTTTTTTACCTTTTTCAGTAAAATCGACATCAATATTTAGTCGACTTGGGAATGAAAGTGGGAGCTCTTCAGATGAACCATCCTCTTCCTCGTCATCACCGAGTGTCACTATAACAGGTCTTGGAAAGATAAAACTTACTAAAGCTGGAATTGCTACTCAGGTAGACTTAAACTTTGAAATAAGAGTTTATGAATTATTTTGTGCTTGTGTTGTACTTGTCAAAATTTGCTTTCATATTTAATTTAAAACATTTCAAATTACCACAGATATGAAGAGGTAGTTGATAGGCCTATTGTGATCATTTAATCGTTAGCCTCAAATTGTTAACCCTTTTCATTTCTTGCAACTTTTAGTGTATTTGTTTTGTATTTTGGAAAAATAAATGCTTTCATGTCTTTTGGAATTTCTTTCAGGCTGGAGGTGGCTCACCTGGAGTATTTGGTCGCCTGGGAGGAAATACACTGAAACACACAGCTACATCAACTATTGATGAACTTGAAGATAGCGTTGACAGTGATTCTGAGGAGGACTCAGTTGAAAGACTACCATATGCAGGAGTCCTAAAGAAGACCCCACAGACAAAGAGAGTTAAAAAAACAAAAATTACTTTGAAGAATCTTAAGAAGCCAACTGTTCAAGATCGATTAGGTGAAAAAGATTTACAAAGCATTCGGAATGTTCCTTTCTTAGAATTCTTAAGGAATTCAAGAGCACTCACATAATCCAGAATATACAAAATATACTGGACGTTGTCTCATGCTATGTCAGTGAAAGCACCGAGCAAGCTGATTAGCCTGGTAGCTCATTTGGTGGACAATTGTGCATGTTACTTAATGATTGAAGGTTCAAGCCTTATTCAGATGCCTGTCTTTTTCGCATCAACCTTTTGTATATAATTTCGTTTATTACCCAATTTACCATATTGGTAATTCAGTTCATTGCCCAATAGGCAACCAGTTTTTCCAAGAGTGAAAAGTGATTGCTATTGGCTGTTGTGAAGCTCGAGTTTTGAACCATGCCTGTGTTTGAAATATAAAATATAAATGATAAATATTTTTCTAAAATTATATCATTTTGCTAATATTTATCATCAACTTGACCATTAATACTTTATTGATGCTTTCAGGACCTGCAAAGTCCGAGTCAGTGGTATCATCATCAACAGAAGGAATATTTGCAGCATCAACTGGTAAAGTCCCTGTTCTAAGACGTCTAGGATCTGCAAAGATACAGGCACCCTCTAGCACAACTGATAAAGCTCAACTCAAGACAAAAACATCACTTTCGAAAGTGACAACCTCAAAAGGTAATCTCTTGCACCACTTCCAAAATTCTCAAATGTATACATCTATACATGTATATATCATTTAATTCATACATTTGAAGGAAAAATGATGAAATCCAATATTATGGGTTATTTGTGATTACTGATAGTGCTATTACACAACTGTTTTATATAAGCCTTGAACAGAAGCTTATTAATTGACACATCAACTACATATAGTTGTGCAAAAATAGAGGAAACAGGAGATACTTGCATTAAGGGCAGTTTAAGTGTCTTACGACTCCTGACTCACTTGCATCTATTGCCAGCCCTGATATCATTTACTCAAATGCTTTTGAGCCCAGCCACAATACCTTATTGCAAAGTTTAGATTATTTGAATAAATAATAGATATATAATTAATACTGTATATATATAAAGCAGTCATGAAGTGATTGTGTAGAAAAATGTAATATTGGACTGAACTATTGATTTCAGGTGTACAGGGTAGACTAGTAGACTAATTTTAATTTTTTAATTAATTAATCTAATTTTAATTTAATCAATTAAATAGACTCAACTATTGATTTCAGGTGTACAGGGTAGACTAGGGGCAATTCAGGCACCAGCTTCATCTACTACTGGCAAGTCAACTACATTGGCAGCTAAGAAGAAAAGGATATCAGCAGGACTTGGAGGTGTGTTTGGTAGACTAGGAAACCAACAATAGGATATTATTCCACATTTATTTATACCTGAGTGTGCTCTACATTACTGAACTTGATATTTTGCTGATTGGTCTCAAATGGATATTGTTCCACTGAGAAAATGAGGATATATTAGAACTGGGCCAAGAGGGCTGGATGATAAATTACAGTATTGAATGGAGTATTTAATTCCTGGCTAAATTATAAAAATGACATTTTGTGTGAAGACATTCTTGAACACATCTTTGGTGGTGTCAGTATAACCATTTGGTAGTACTTGGCATGAACAATGCATTGATGTTACCAGGTTTTGGAGCTTCAGATGAGTTAAGCTGAAATCTCTCCAAAACAGTGCCATGTTCTATTCATTCTGAATCACTGTTGATATTGCTTTTTATTGTAACAGCTAGATAAAGTCTTTGGCATCAATGTCTTATAGTGATTCAGATGAAGCATTGTGTTTTATTATATACCCAATATGTAACACTAATCCTGATTGGTCAATACCTAGTCACGTGTTCCGAAATAGATTTACTATTTCCCTCGGAAAGTTATATTCCCTCAAATGTGACGTCAGCGGGAATATACATTTGAACTATTGCCCGCTGACGTCACAATTGCAAGTTCTATTACCCTTGGAAGCGTCTGCGCATCATCACTGCGCAGACGAAAAACAGAAAAATGGAGGATGAGCACAAACACAAATCAACTCCGTTCACCATGACAGACGTGCGTGAACGATACAATATAAGCAACATGTATAAAGTTCCCTAAGCTCAATACGTCTGTGTAATTTCAAGTGTTATGATAATCTATTCCGCGTGTTAAACGCGATTGAATTTGTCAAGTGAGAGTCTCAGAGGCAAACATTTCTGTTGAGCATCTGATGACGTCACAGCTTATAATGCTAACAATGGACCCGGGGAGGGGGCTTTCTAAATTTGGAGCAATAGTGTAAATGATTTCCCCTTGGGAATATCCTCTACAATGTACTATTCCCTCAGCCTGCGGCTTCGGGAATAGTACATTGTAGAGGATATTCCCTCGGGGAAATAATTTACACTATTGCCCTCAATGGCAGTCACTATTTGTATAATATTATCAGTGTGGAGCAATCTAACCTTATGGATCTCATGTTATATAAAGTCTTATATCAAGAATAACACAATGAAATTGCGAGCATTTGAAGTGAAAGACATATGGCCTTACAGCTTGTTCAGAAGTCATGTCTCAAGAATCACAATTAAATGTGTGGCTGTACAGTGTACAGTCTGTTCAAAAGTAGCCGACCATTCATAAAAGTGGCCCTACTTTTAGTTTAGTGTGTGTATAGAATCATATAGAGTGCTGTACATAACTGATGTATATTATTTATTATGATTTTGTTTAGATTTAATTGGTCAAGGATTAATAATTGTTTCTTATTTCATTATTACTTAGAGTGATGTTATTAAAATAGGTGATTGTGGTGTTTGAGCTTAATTTAATAATATAATGTACATCCCCAGGTTTCATTAGAATTTCTTAGAGCAGGCAAAGCAAATAATAGGCTAAAAATTATCATTTTGATATGGAACAGTTGTAAAAGTTTGTAAAAACAACCAAACAAAATGGCCTATGCTGCTTTTGAAATCCCTAACATATACGATCGCTCATTTATATGGAATATGAAGAAGGAAGTTACCATTTCACCACCAGGTGGCTTATTCGGGTCAGATAATATGACTGGGTATTAGGATGTTCCCTTAAACTAGAATATTTATCAGTTGTAGTGGTTCATTGCCCTATTATGTATCTGATAAAATATGTCCAATAAAAGAAAATATTATCTGTCCAATACAAAAAAAGATATTTCACTTTTTGTGGTTTTATAACATGGGGTCTATGGAGAATAATCAGAATATCCCCGACCTTGAAGTCACATTTTCAAAGAAAATTAAATTTTCAAAGTTATGAAACATGTCAAACAGTTTTTAAAACTACATTTCTAGATGTAATTTTACATGGAGATCTCAAATATGATATCACTTTGACTGAATTTTGAATTTTTAAAAACACTAATCAAGATTATTTCTACTTGCATCTAGTCTATCAGTAACTACCAGTAATTTCCTTGATTTCAGTATGCTCTCAAATATTTTTTCACAGTCTGGTCAGGAAGATTGATGAAACACTTTTGTTATTAACAAGTTAGTTTTCGATTAAGGAATTAATTCTTCAGAATCCTCTGAAAAATTTTGGAAATATTCAGGTAAAAGAGATTACTTTATGCTTTCTTTTATGAGATTTCTTAACTCAGGCTTGGTTAAAAGACAAATGAATGCAAAATACAGAGACATGAATGTGCAATGTGGATAACATAAATGAACAATACAAGACGCTATAACAACGTTTGATGTAGGAGAGTTTGAAGTAATCAGAAGTGGTTATCACACCACTAAAAACATTATCTACATCAGTTGTAATTATTTTCCAATGTACGGTATTAATCGTTTCTGGATGTAACAGAGGCCAGAAATATCAAATATATCTGTGTGGAAAACAGTTTGGATTTTAAGACCCAACAAAATTCTTCACTCATTGTACATTTAATGCAAATTCAAACCTTATTTAATCCATTTATTGCATTGTACCTCAAAAACTGAAGTTGATTTTTTCTATTTAAATCCCTAGTTTGCTGTGCGTTGCAAGTAAATGTAAATATTTTTATTCATTAAACTTTTGAATGTATTGTACATGTATAACAATTTACAATAATGATGAATTGTAAAGTAAAAAATAGGATGTTTAGTATATCATTTCTTGCTCTAAAAGAAGCTTTTTGATGGAGAATATTAGAATTTTAATGTGCCCCAGTTTCTATTTTGCCATTTAAAACATACCTATGAATTAAAAGTACAACTGCATATCTATTGACTCAATGGGGCATTTACTTTTTAAATAATGATAATGAATAATATAATGAATTTGTTTTGTTATGTGCTATATTGTTGACTCATGATAACCTTTATTTTTTGTGACTTGCGTTTGGCATTAGGTGGTTGGTATCATTATTTTAATAAATAGTAACCACTAGGCTATATAAATAAGAAATGTTCACAGTAACCTTCTACTTTGAACACATTTAAATGTTTTAAGTTTCAACAGACTTTTGGCAAGATCTGTTATCATGACAACGAATCAATGGACTTCATTCACAGCAGAATAAGGGATCCAGGGAATGACAAACTGACAATTGCAAACAATATATACATGTATATGATTTACCTACCAATGTACAATTCCGAAATATATCATCTCCCAAAAGATCTTTCACATTTTACAGATGGAGAAAATATTTCAGATTCAAATGTCAGAAATGTGTAAATTCTCTCAAGTACAAGATGACAACGAATTAATGTGATATGAGCCAGAAATATACTGAATTGAAACAATATTTTGGAATGGTTATTCTTTTGATTCTGTCTTTGGGACATGTAACATGTTTGTAACATAACCTTAATGTAAAGAATTAAGAAGGTTACTGTAGGCTAGGTTAAGGTTATATTGACTTATGTTCAGATAGTGGACTCTTGATTTAAATCATTTTTACCTAAATACCCATGGCATTTATAAAAAGTAAGTTTATAACTCTCTAAAATATGGTTAACATGTTAAGAACACTGGATGAGCCTAACTCATTTAAGGGCCCATGTGTGCTTTTAATCATGTTAATCCAAATGGCCATTTATTGAAATAAATGTATTGATTTCTTAACTCTTAAAACATGAGGTAGAAATAATCAATTATGATAATTAACATTTAGGTGTTTGAAATTACCACCATGCTAGTGTTTGGAATTGCCCCCACAAACCCTATGCCTTTAAATAAAAATAGATGTCACTTATAAATCAATTAAATTTGGAGTTATTGATATGCAGGGGTGACAGGATCCAGTATCATTAGTTCAGGGTACCATTTGGAATGACCCCCATGCTAGTGTTCGGAATTACCCCCTAAAAAACTCCTGTTTGGAATTACCCCCCAAAAATACCTTGAAATTGAAGTGGTATAACCCAAATTATCAGAATTTTTTCTGCACATATATTACAGCGTATAATACACATAACTTATAAGTTATATATAAAATTTGATTGCAGTACAGCCAAGGTACTAAAATTTTTTGATGGAGGTGTTTGGAAACGTATTGATGTTTATTGGTCAATATGCACTGGCGGATCTGGGGGGGGGGGGCTGGGGCCTGGGCCCAGAAAAAAAAATTGGGCCTAACAAAGTATTAGGCCAAAAAAGTGGGTCTTTTGGTCATTACGGGGCCTTTTAAGGCTTTATTTTTTAATTTAAGGCCAAATTTTGACAAAAATTAGCCTCTAAATTTCAAAATTTGGGCCCACTTTTGCGTTTCAGGGGCCGACGTTTTTCCTCTGACCTGAAATTTGGGCCCCCCTTGTTGGTTCCTAAATCCGCCCCTGATCTGTGTACATGAGATCCATTTTATTTAGCTTGTATCGGCCACTCTAACAACAACTCCCTCAATAAAATGAATATTCTCTTTTAGCTAATGTTGGATACAGAGACATCTTTGAAACATTTCAATAACAAATATCTCCCCTTTAGATTGTCAAAATGAACTCGTTCATGAATAATTAACCTGAATGAATTAGGTCATGTAAATCCGCTATACAATATAGTTCTGTAGAAAATCCAATGTAATTTGCAAATTTATGCATGGATCATTATTAAGTCATCAATGTTTCGTATTTTTTACACACTGGTCGAACGATTGCAGATATTTTAAGGTTGACAGTAATCTAAATCGATAAAATTAATTTAAGGTCATCGCGTAACCCACATCTGAAATCCTTACGCACCATGCTCAATGGTCAAGTAAGGACACGGCAGAAAGTGTAATGACTTTTATCGACTAAATTTCAGACGAACATGGGATAATCATTGCATGGGATTACTTCATAACGTTTCTCCTATAACTCACAGAAGGTATGTTATACTTTATTTTACCGTCATATGTGTTATTTGCATAAATTTTATGAGGTGGTTAGAAAATCTAGTCTACGCCAGGTTTCGGGTCAGAACGTTATAAATGGTCAATATGACCATGACCTCAAATGAAAAAACAAGTTTCAATGTAATGTTCGTCACGTTACTGCCTTACAGTGAGTTCTTGTTTATATGATAGTTTTAAGGGTAAACACCAATAGATAAACAGTATAAGGATGAGACTGAAACCATGTGAATCAAAAGGTAAGAAGATTTTCTCTATCAAACAGCTGATATTGATAGTTTTTCCTTTAGATCTGCTGGAGAATAATAATGGCTGCTAAGACTGTGTAAAATAAGCATTTATGGTTTGGTGGTGTTCAATATTTAATAGATAAATGAGATTATCGCACAAGATATTACTATTTGGTATAATAATACTCGTCCGATTCATGCGGAAATGCATGTTTGTAAACACTGGGATTCCCATTGAAAAGTGCATTCTGGGAAATCGAAATGTCAGTTTTTACGCTAAGAGTACCAAGCTGCATGTTGTTGAATAACTATCAATGTGTTTACTTTCAATAGTAGTCAAACAATATCGAACGTCATATTTGATTTAGTATAATTTTAGTGATGTAAAGTTACAATGATTCCTTCAGTTGTAAGAAGCATAACTTCATTCAATCGTTTTTGTCGCTATTCTTGAATAGACTCGGGAGTCGACATTGTTTTATTTTATAATTAGATCTGTAATCTTTGTTAACTTACATCATATTATTACTTTACATTTGAACATAAGTCAAAAGGAAAGTATGGTTGTATTTATCATAGTCCACACCTTGATAGGTGATGACCTTGATAAGAGTTTTGGAACATTTTTAGCAAAACGTATATATATATAGGTACTAGATAGAAATGAAAGTTAATTTTACATTAAAGATACCAAAGTCTCGGTTTAAAGGCACACTGTGCTTCACAGCCAATAAAATGGTTCAAAAATTTTTTTCTGGCCTTTTTATCTCGTCTCAGAAGCAATATTTTGTTATTCCCTATCGCCAAGAATTCTTTTAACTTTAGAAATATTAGTCAAAATGTTAATCGAAATGTAAGGAATGCCCAGTATAGGGATTTTGGTTCCAACTTGGATGTTATAAACTGTAGATGCTGTCTTTATCCAAATACAATAGTCTGTTCTAGCATTACATGTTTTAACAACTAGTTTTTTATAAGTGACTAGTAACTTGTGATTTGTTTCACTGAAGAAATCTAACCATTGGATTTGACTGGTATTTTACACTCCTCTTGCACTTGTACAATGTGTAATTTTTTCCCATTTAGGTAAAGAAAGCTTCATCTTTGAATTCTGGGTTATTCTATCCTTCTCAAAAGACTACTACTAGCCTCTTTTTGAGTCAAGTAGAAAAATCCTCAGGTATGATACCACATCTTAAAATATTACATTAAAGCAGATATGAAATGGTATTTTTGACTAAAAGGAATCAGGGGTCTCGCGATCACTCGGATTTGCTCGAGCAATTAGCGTATTGATACTCACCTTGAATATTGGTTAAAATCCTGTATCATTTTTAACCTCCAAAAACAGCAAAATCATGTTCAAAAGCACCTTAAATCACGCCTAAACATCGCGTAAGCAGGCGTCACCGTACAGCGTCAAAAAATACAGTAGTACAGTTTTCTGTACGATGACGAAAATTAACTGAGTTGAAGCAAAAACTGTAATGAGGGTTTTAAAAAGATTAATTAGATGAAAATAAATACGATTTCGGGTGTAATAAAAACGGCATTCTCTTAGGAATGGTTTTAA